CCCCCCCTCTCTCTCGCTACACTTTAGACTGATTCCTAATCTTATTGAGTTCAAATACAAATACAAGAGTACATATTACCTAAAATGTTTTGGCCCGACAGTGAGAGGTATCTTTGGTAAAATAATACAAATAATGAATACGTGAAGAAATGGATAAAAGTGTCACACAAGGACAGGACAGAGTGATTTCAAAATTTCATTTTATTTCAAAAGTTATAACCATTCTTCAACGCCAATACGCCTTTGACTCGGCACATGGCAACAGACGTCCCCGCTATATCTGCAACTACCCTGGCCATTCCTTTGTGAAACCATTTTGCATACTCCGTTCGCACGGGTTCAAACTTACCACAATCGTTTTGTGAATTCCGATTCCTTTCTTCAGATAGATTTCTCCTTTCTATTGGGTATACAATCGTTTTAAACATTCTTTTTCCTATTGGATGTACAGCTGTTTTACGAATTTGATACGCACTGAAACAATTATCATACAACCATTAATTGTTACACTCCTTGACCTTGTCATTGCCGGTTCTACATCCGGGTGGGTTCTACATCTGGATCGGTTCAACATCCGGGTCGGGTCTACATCCGGGTACTTCCTTGAGGCGTTACAGGTGCATCGTGTTACCACCATGCATGATAGATACAGCTAGATTCTCTCCGTTCAATTCATTTACCATGTTCTATATCATAAGTGCACTGTGAGTGTGAAAATATATACTTGTGTGTTATTTAAGTCAACCGAGGGGCTGTTACAACACATAGCAGGCTTTATTTTTGTTAAACGATGTTTTCCAACAACACTCATAAGACAGAAGAGTGAGTACACTCGAATCGCTATGTCTGTACAATTCTGTCCAACACCCCGTTGCACCTTTCCGTCTATCCAAAACTCGTGCATGGAACCCAGTGCATAATCATTTTACATATGTCCAATTGGCCATGTCTAAATATAATTTGTTTCTTACTTCCAATTGGTGCCGGATATCACAATGGACCAATGGGCATCGCAAGGGTGTCATAAATACAGGGTTACATCAGGCAGTAGTCATGATTCGTTTATTCAATGTTGTAGGACAATGATGGTGTATGCTATAGACATCCCATTTCCATACAAGGCAGACTCATGCTCTGTAGAACTGTCAATTATGTGGAAATACCCATCTACGGTTACAGTATAAAACAACATTTAATCGAAGAGGACGGTTGTTTTTTTAAATACCGTATGCTTTAGAGTCCGTTCTATCGGAAACTAACGTTACTAATTTTGTATAATGCACTATAGACTGATCATGAGACAAATCAAACCCGGGCGACCACTGCGTCAAGCATGTAAGGATTACGGAATAGCCCTTGGTGCATTTTTGTGATCAGGATTATGCAAGATATGGATGGACTATAATGATATTTGGTCTTGAAAAGATGAAATTACAAAACCCAATTATGATTTTGGCCGGGCTCTCTTGTTATTACAGCAGTACATTTTGTCTCAGATCTTCTGTCCTGGGCATGCTTTTTTTAATAATTGTTTAGTGGCTTGTACTGGACCTGCAGTGGTGTGTTTCTTTTTCTTATTTAAGAAAGGATCAAACGACAGATTTTTTAAAAGTGTGTAAATAGTATAGACAGAGACGTACACGATAAAATGCAAATTATGCAGAATATAGAAACAACTTTGAATCTTAATCAAGAAAAAGATTCTATCATACCGTCCTGTGGTCTTGATTTTGGAGTGACAGCTTCTGGGGCGAGGAAGAAGTGGTCCAGGCTTAGAAAAAGAAATGGGCCCCTGGGCAGCTAATTTTGGAGCTGCAGAGCGTTTGGGTGTCTCAGGAAAAGACATGATTTGCATGCTTTGGGGCATACAGTTTGGGCATCCCAATTAGGAAGGGGTGGGGTAGGCGAACACGATATGATAGACACACGGAAATACACATTATGCACATCTACTGTTCGTATTTCTGTTCTTAGCTACATCATGTTTGTACATGGTACATATACACCTCTCTGTGCCCAGAGCTACAACCCTATCAGTCGTACAGCTGTACAGAAGCGTCTAGCTCAAAGCAGGACAAACACAACAGTGCAGTAAACAGCCATTCCCAGAGCGGCAACTGGGTGGACAAGCGGCCCAGACACATCTGTACAAAACAGTCACCAAAATGGTGCGATGAAAATAGAGGTCTCCTATGGTTGTTATAGTATTGCTAGATGATAGACAGTGTAACACTATTAGTGCACACGACAAGCTTTCCAACCAACGGCGTGACTATCGACTTACCGATCAACTAATTAATCAATCACCACATCCACACGACACGTCTAGCAAAAGTTAAGGACTTGCTCCCGAAGTAAGACGTCAGTGGGACAGCACACCTCTTCAACTGACAGTTTGATGCAGTTCGGAGGCTTCCGGTTGGAAACGCCGGATTTTACACAATACGGAGGCTTCCGGTTACCTGTTGGATATGCCGGATCTACATAGTTCGGAGGCTTCCGGTTGAAAACGCCGGATTTTAAACAGTTCCGAGGCTTCCGGTTGGCATAACCGGATTTTCGGCCACCGTCTTGTGCTTGGGAGGTATGTCCATTCTGCGCATGCGCTCTGAAGTACGGGACGCCGATGACTTCAGACGATGTCGTCATCCGATATGAAGAGCGGCTGCAGAAACAATCCCAGAGTTCCAATCACGCAGACGGACAGGAAGAGCCACAGGCAGATGCGGTCGATCACCATGGCAACGTACTTCCAGTCCTCGTTCACCTGTAATGGTAGAAGTAATGCAGTTTACTAGTTGCTCGCTAGGCGTCAGCTCTGTTACACGTACATGAACGATGGACAGAGCACGTCGGCAGAACGTATACAGTAATGCGCCTGCGCAGAACCCTGGACTTTCGTGGTTTTCTTTGTATTTTTGGTCAACGTTGCATCAGAATTTTGCCTGTTGCAGACGATATCTTTTCCGACATGACATTTGGAAACTATAGACGGGATGTTAACCTTATATGCACAAATACGACCTTACATGAAAGGTTCTGCCGAAGTGCTACACTACATACACTACATTACGGATTTTGTGCAGGTACAGTACGTTTTGCCGACGTGGTAGGATGGACCAACTGCCGGTTCGGTGGACCTTACCAACGCTACTGAAGTCCTGTCTTTTCCCGACGCAACATTAACACACCAAAATGGTGCCAGAGACAAGGGAATTCGATGGAAGGCCTGTAGAACCCAGAATACGCAATAACGAAATAGAACTGACACAATTTAATTTGTTTGTCTGTTGTCATTGCACGTTTTACATTTACTGCTGCCAGCTTCTATTTGCTGTTAGGTTGATCCTGGATATCTGCCTGTGCTCGGGGAATGGCAGCACAGACAACATTCGATTCTCCCCTGCAGCCACAAATCCGTTCAACACAGTCTCATGGCCATGATTTTAGTCTGCTGTCACGATGAGCAGGATGGCGGCATTTCACGCCCGGGTTGCGCGCCTGACGTAAGCTGTTCTCCGGCAGCACGTTTAAAGCCTGCTGCTACAGGAAACTGCTAGTCGCAGGGACAACAGTGTGCTAATATATACAGGACGACCTTATTGTATTATGTTATAATCGCAAATTGTGTTTGATTCGATAAAGAAGCAGACAAAGGATATTTATTTTGGGGGATAATTGAATATAATAATAGATTTTCGTATAAGTAGCAAAACCTATAACCTTTTTCCTCTCCTGGAGCGGTGTCAGTGGAGGTTGGTTCAATACATTATTGTTTTCACGCGGCTTCTCATCATTCATTTTGAAAAGTTAATTGCCAAAAAGCTCCACCATTTCCCCAGACACACGCCAATGGCGACATGGTTAGCATGGCGGCGGCTGACAGAATTAGGTTCCGCCGTCAAACCCGTAAATACCTTCCGACTGAGATCATTAAGGTTTCACAGGAAAAACTGAACTTTCACTCTAGCATACATGTACATAATTTTATTATATGATATATGGTATGATGTACGTACATAATCGACATATGACACCCAAAGAGAAGGAAAATTAGGTATAGCTAAGTAGCACATTATAATTGTTAGGAATGTTTTAATACATCATTCATGCAGTTACAATCCAGGCACAGTCGCTGGAAATCCCATAGCCTGGATCGGTCTAATCGAATATGTTAAAATTGTCGATAGAAGATTGAAATGTCCCCTTTCTAAATCCCCGTTAGGACTATTGCCGTCTGATTGATATTCCTGGCACGGTGGTCTCCCGGGAAGTTCCACCTCACATCCAAATTAAGCACCACCTCGGCGTGCGCGCGCAGGCCCGACCCCGCCGCGATCGCAGCTGGGAGCTGTTCCCTGAACCGAGGCTGTTGGCATTTGGAAGGTCGCTGAGCGGCTGCTGACGGAATGAGAAGCCGGAATTACGCCGGTTTTCAGGCGGATCTTCCCGACAGGCGACAGTAAATCCATCTCGACTGAAGGGATGACTTTTCTCGCAAGACTTCATCCCAGCCAAACGCGCGCTGGTTGGTCTAATCTTTTCACAGGGGCGTTCACGCATCTTTGTCATGTCAGCCGAAGCACTTGGTTGCATCATTTTATATTAAGAAACACAAACTGAAGCTGATATGTATTACACTTGGCGACATAGTTTACTGAGGAAGAAACTTTGGGAGCAAAGTCAGTTTAAGAGTTTAGAGAAAATTAGACGCTATTCAATATGTTGTAACATCCGTCATCATTTTGACCCGAGTTAGCCGCGATGTACGTGTTATATGTGGCACGTCTACAATCACGGTATAGGTCCAAATATAAAACATACAGAACTTTAAAAATCTGATGAGCTCCACACACAATAACACATGTGAGAACTGTGGAACAGACTATACCTAGTGAGGTTGTCGCAGTTGGAGATAGACATTTTAAATGTGAAGTGCACATACATACAGCGTCCTGATTGCTAGGAATTAATACTGATTTCTAGGGACTTCTTCTGATGCTGATTCCACGCTGTGTCGCAGATGATATTTAATTTTGTATCATTGTAGTTCTACTGCAATACACTGTATCATGTATGATTGTCGAGCAATAAAATTCATTCATTCATTTATGACTTACCGCGTCATTGGCGTCCTGCATCTTGAAGTATTCCGCAATGAACTTGACGTTGCTGACCGCTCTTCTCATTTCCGGGGACAGCTGGAGGGAAATGTTCTCCGACAGAGTCTGACTCCCGGAAACGTCCGTGACCTTGAGCGCGTACTTCCGGCACTGTGTCTCGTACAACATGGCGTTCCTTTTCTTCATGTGCACCACGTCCACCGGGTCGCGCCCGAACACCTTCAGGTGTTTACAGCCCTTATCAGGATCCCCGTCCTCGTCGTCCATCTGGTCCAGCCGCTTCATGAACAAGAGTTTGGGCAGTTTTTCCAGGAAAAGTGTTCTAACCCAGGGCGGCATGGTGTGCGTGCTGGCCGACCGGTGGTGGACGTTCAGTATGTACACTGTGGTGACGATGGTGAAAGTCACGAAGATCATGGTGAACATGAGATATTTACCGATGAGCGGGATGTCCAGAGAAGTCGGCGGGATGATGTCTGCGATCAGCAGCAGGAACACAGTCAGGGCCAGCAGTACGGAGATGCTGAGTGTGATCTTCTCCCCACAGTCGGACGGCAGGTAGAACACCAGCACCGACAGGGACGTGATGAGGATACACGGGATGATCAGGTTGATCGTGTAGAAAAGAGGCTTTCTCTGGATGATGAAGTCGAACATGACGAACATCTCGGAGCCGCTGACCATCTTCCTATTCGGGGACCGCAGGATGTCCCACTCGCCGTTCTGTTTGAAGTCGTCCATGACCGCCTCGTTGTCGATGAGCTCGATGTTGACTTCGGAGGAGTCGTAGGTCCAGGAGCCGAACTTCATGGTGCAGTTCTGCCTGTCGAACGGGAAGTAGCGCACCTCGATGGAGCATGCGCTCTGGTAGATGGCAGGGGGCAGCCAGTACACCTGGCCTGTGTTGGCGATCAGAGCCTTGGTTTTCAGCTGGACGTCGTACTGCCCGTCCGCACTGTCGGCAGGAAATAAAACAACTGTGGTGAATCTTGCATGATTTGCGTCACAAAGTTACAAAACTGCGATGCTTCTGTAAAATAATCTGTTTTCTGTTTTCTCCCAAATGCTAACTCTCTAATCACCTGAAACCAGCATTGAGTGGCGCTGCTAACTTGTTAAACCAGGGCAGGTTTTTACCACTTGATCTCGGGAACCCAGATGTAAGAAAACCCGGATGTGAGGGAACTCGGATGTAAGAGAACTCGGATGTGAGGGAGCCCGGATGTAAGAGAACCCGGATGTGAGTGGCAATACGTACTTGTTAAAGAGCACCACGTCAGGTTTCCACGTGATCTCGGAAGGAACCCGGATGACCTCGATGTTGTCGTAGTCTTCGGGGTTCCAGACGAGGCGGTAGTCAATCCAGTCCTGTAGGGAAGCAAACAGTGCTATTGTGTCGTCTCCTGCTGTATTCTAACATGCTGCAGCGAGCAAAAGTCACTGAAGATTCATCGATTAGAATAGTACACAAATCAATGGCTCACAACTGGTCATTATTTTACCTAATGAATTATGTAAAATTAGAACGAAGATTGTATTACAATGCGTTGTATTGATGTATTTCATTGTGTTGTGTTGTGTTGTATTGTATAGGGAATCGTCAGGATCTGAACTGCGGTGGTCCTAGGAAGCGATTATTAATATCAGTCCATGTTAACTTAATGCGGTATAAATGCCTTCCAAGGATGCTAAACCCTCTTAGTGGCCTACAGATCCAGCTGCAGAACATGGACGACTGGAACACCATTCAACACACACCCTTCTGGTACACACGTGCTATACTTGCTGAACACGGCATGCCAGTCCGATCGTGCAACAGATGCAAAAGACCAATTTTGTTTTAGGCGAAATGTCTGCAGTTTTTCGTACCATAGGACCCATTTCGTTATTGCCTGTGTAAGGTTCCATTACCTTCTTACTCAGTTTACTAAGTTGGGTTGCAGATTTCAATCTTACTTTCATTGATATTTATCCAGTCAACATGGCAGGCAAAAATACCACCCGAATCAAGTTGATCTTACAATTACACTTACAGCACAGGTCAATAGATGTGGCAAGTATCAACAGTACTTTACTTGTGAAGTAAAGACAAACATAATGGTAGCTGTAACTGCCGCCGCTGCTCCCCATTATACAGACAAATGTCACAATAAGGGGCGCAAGGCTTCCGACAAGTCCGCCACTCAAATTACATGAGATATTCTCACAAGCCGGTTACACCGGCAGGACGGACCTGATAAGGGTACATTTTGTACTGGGCTTTAGCATGTGAACAGGCCTGGTGTAATGTGATGGGCAGGGAATCTTTTTGGTTGTTTGAATCATGACTAACACGGGAAAACACGTACATGTGACGCGCATCTTTACGCTGTGGCCAGGGCATAACTATAGTATGATTTTGATGCCTTTCTTATGCTATCTATTTAAAAAGTCCCTTACATTTTACATATACCTAATCGATATCCTATCGTTTAATCCACCATACAGCTCCCTGTATTGCCAGATCGAATGATAGATTAAGAGAAATGTACAGGCGCCTGTGTTGTCTTAACTTGTTTTGCTTGTCAAGATTTTTCCTCAGATATGAGTAATAAATCCACTCGGCCGCCTGCAGTTCGTGATTAAACTTGGCGAAGATCATGTCTGATTCTAAATTAACTCAATTACAGTCCCGGCAGCCAAACCTCCCGGAGTCTGTTTGCCCCACATCGCGCGCGCGTCAACAAGCTGAGCTGGCCGCCGGCCAACGTTACCCTGCAGCAGAGCATCAGCCCACCAACCCTGCTGCCGAACACTAGTCTGTAAACGGTTTTATCGGTGTGCTAACTTAACCAACCCGTTGTAGCTGAATACTGTAAGCATTTTATTAGTCTGCAGCTGCCAACCAACCCTGCAACCAAACACTGTAAACGTTACTTATCAATTGCCAACCCTGCAGCCGAACACTTTAAACGTTTTCCATCAGCGCTAGTCTGCCAACCCTGCAGCCGAACACATTGAGCATTTTTCATCAATGTGCCAACCAACTCAGCCGAACAATTTAGATATTTCTCATCAGTCTGCCAACCCTGCAGTACAACGCTTTAAACATTTTTCATCAGTCTGAAAACCCTGCAGCCGAACACCTTCTTAATAAACATTTTTCATCAGTTTGCCAACTAACCCTGCAGTTGAACACTTTGACCACATGATATTTCATCAGTTTGTCAACCAACCCTGCAGCCGAACAGTTTATTAATAAACATTTTTCATCAGTTTGCCAACGAACCCTGCAGTCGAACACTTAAAACATTTTCACCAGTTTGCCAACCAATCCTGCAGCCGGACAATTTAAACATTTTCATCAGTTTGCCAACCCAGCAACCTAACACCTAAAACATTTTAGTCAGTCTGCTTACTATTGAGGCAGCAAATTTATTGTTTTTTTCTTCATTCAGACACACAGTGATGAATACAAATAAAAGGACATGGACTAAGTGACTGCGAAATCAAGTTAGGCACAACTTAGATTCTCGCAGCCATTTTTACAATGGAAAAGAAGTCGTTTACAAGACATTTGAAAAACTATGGATAGCATGAGTCAAAGGATCCCATCCCAGAAGAGAAGGAAATCATAGCAGGACATAAAACAACTAGAAGCGTTTTGTTTCTGGGATGTAGTTTATTGCTTGCCATTGTTACAGGAAATAATGACTTTCGTAGCTTTGGCTCTTCTTAGCATAGCATCTAATAGCGTCTTTGCTGTTTGAACATCGTCGATTTGATTCCCAACTAATAGTTATTCTTCACTTGTTCCATCTGACTAATGTTGCTGCGTTGATAACACTAAGTCTGTACAGTCGAACTCTCATGTGGAACCTAAAATTGTATTTGGATAAATCAAACAGCTTGGAATGTACATCATCTGAGAATACTCTCCCAACAGAGGTTTAGGCTCCGGCTTATTCTTGACATTCATGGCAAATAGATACTGCCTCGCCAATTTGATACTGTCTAGCAGGAACCAAAATATGGGTATGAAGATTAGGAAGCATGAGTATTGCTCAGTGACGTTAGAATGTCTGTATGGACGGGATTGTTTCAAAAGCCAGTTTTCAGTTGTGTAACTTTTACCTTCAGTGCTGTAACTTGTATCTTGACGCTGGTAACTCATTGTTGTTTTTCTTTCAGCTGGTCTTGCTTTGGTGGAATTTGTGAGGTTATTCTTTTATGGAAGCCATTATGGTAGTAATTCCACACCTGGTTAGGTAAAGAAATTAACCCCGATATAAATAACTGGAACTCCTGCGGGCGCGGGGGGAGAGATGGATGGTTTCCACAGCTGCGCGCGCCGGAAGTGCTGATGTAATGGGCTCCACATCAGTAGGCACGAGTTAATTAACGTTTGCAACCAAACTGGCATGGGGAAACTGCTTATGCCGAGCTACGAACATAAACATATGCACATAGGTGCAGATGGCATGGGGAAACTGCTTATGCCGAGCTACGAACATGAACATATGCACATAGGTGCAGATGGCATGGGAAACTGCTTATGTCGAGTTACGTACATGCACATGGGTGCAGATGGCATGGCAGAAACTACTTAGTTACGTAGACGTAGGTGTAGATACCGTGGTAAATCTTGCTAATGCTATGTAGGTTACATAGATGTAGAAGCCATGGTGAATATTGCTGTCGCTATGTCAGTTACACAGTTATATACAATAGTCTTGATGCTATTTTTGTTACGTACATGTAGATGACATGGTATACAGTACCGCTGCTATATGTTAGTTATGAAGATATAGATGGCATATAGTAAATACTGCCGATGCTATGTTAGTTACATAGATGTAGATGGCACGGTGAGCGGTGTTGATGCCGAGATACAGAGAAGGGTTACAATGGAGGTACAGTAACAGCAAGCACGGCACACGGATGGGAACATTTCGAGACTTTATATCAATATCTGATCAACCTTCTCACGTCACGTTTGTCATGTTCAGTCTGTGAATCCAACTCCGTGATATTAGCGGGTTTGCAAAAAAAAAACTTAAATGTCATCTTAAGGTCGGCTTTCTTGATTTTGAATCCAATACCTTAATGTCAGGAGGTCTAATGTCGAAAGCAGAAAATGCAGTGTGTGACTTGCAAGTCAAATACGAATACATACATATCATAATTATCATATTATATCAGGTACACACACACACATAATACACACACACAAACACAAATGTACATGGAGGTATGTGTTTTTGTCTGTGTGTGCGTATGTGTCTGTGTGTCTATATGTGTGTGCGTGTTCCGTTCATTGACATATGTGGTCTCACCTGATTTAGCCATACATTTGTCTTCATCACTTGGTCCTTTTCATTCTGTGTACAAAATCACACGGAAAAACATAGTGAACATGTTATGTGTGATTCACGTGGCCTCTCAGTTGTATATTCTCCCTACAACGACATTCTAACATCACACAATATAATACTTCATTTTTGGTCAGGTCATTCTTTTACAACATAGGGAATATCCCCAACAGGACATGACTATGCATACGTCAAATGGGTGAATAGGTCATACAACCGGGTGAATTTGCGTTGATTATTAATCAATCTTGCAACTGGTACTAAATAGCCGTAAAACTTTTATCACTTATCCAGCAAGTCATATCCTCAAAAGGCTTTTTAAAGGGTTCCTGATGAAAGTAGTCTGCCCGTAAAGTGAAACTAAACCATTACGATTTTATATACCATTTAACGCACACATAAACGTACACGGTTCCACCCCCACAATATGTGCTACAGTCCACCAAACTGCCGTTTCTTTTCATGTTAACGTCTTCATGGCGCCTTCTATCACAAAGTGCCTAAGGTCTCCACTTCACATGTAAACAATAAAGAAATGTTTTATATCATGTGTTCATAACCAAGATGGATGATTCCATTACCCGTGAGGTGTTAAAACATGCAGCTGTGTAGCCACAAATAGGACTTGCACCTTTTATTACCGACCGCCATGCCTGGGGCCAGGTAAAATCGGAGTTCATTTGGGTGTATTTCACCATAACGCTTTGATGTACTGTGTCTGTCTATCACCATAGCGTGTCAGATTATGAGTTTTAGTGATGAAACATACTAAAGCTGCAATCAGTCCTTCATTCGAGTCCACTCTGCTTAATTTCTGTCTATTTAAAATTATCATTTGTCTGTCTCTTAACGCTACAATACAAAGTTCTTTGCCACATTTATTATATACTTGATTGATTTGTACTTGAAGATTGATTGATGTACATGTACGAGTACCGTATCCATTAGAAGTGCGGACTGAGAAGAGGTTTTCACCACTCTGAGAGAAATCCCCGAGGAGTGAGCTGGGCCCAGGTCAAGCTCCAGCTTCAGACATGAGAATGATTTGCATCTCTATTATAGACCGGTTCTGGGGATGATGTACGGTCTGGCGACACCTGCTACAGGTCTCCAGCAAGGACATGCACAGATCAATACTCCAGCCTGACCTCCGGGCTGGCATTGCTCCCTTCTTCCTGCCGAGGAATGGACAATTCAACTCCGCAGCCCTATAGGATCAACTCACCTCTCAACTCCGACTAAATTGAGCTACGTACATCGCTCCACACCCCCCACACCCCCCCAATTAAAACAAACAGTTCTTGTAGAACACACATATGCACCATCCATCCCACCCTTCCCAACACCCAACACACCCCCGGAACGGCCGGCTACAGGTATCAGCTCGGAAACATGCACTGTGTGCACACATTAAGTTGCAATCGAGGTCAGTGACCTACAAAAACCCCGGTTATCAAACAAGTCTGCACTGGTTCTACGGTCTATTCAATTGTGTGGGCGGACGGTGGCGTAGTTTCAGAGGTGTTATGTAATTAATCACTATCACAAAACACAGACATATTTTGCATTTGACTTTTAAGTGATAAAGCGGGAATAATCAGAATCATGAATGTAATATCACCAGTGGAGCATGCACATAACGACCAAGTTGCTCGCTCACGTGACGAGTTGGAGCCAGTACGCTGGTAACGACAGGCTGTGCGTGTCAGCGATAACACATATCCGCAGATCCTGTTAAAGTTACAGTGGCTATTTCAGTTTTGCCGATACTGGATGAAGGTGACATTGAGGTTTAGTCTATTTTCGACCTTTGAAAACTCTTAATCGATGCTTGTCCCATCAGATAACCTCCTGCGCAGACAGGCATGTCGACATCACTTATGCACAAGAGAATTTGCTGCCGTTTCTCGATGAGTGTTGCAACATTTTCAGTCATGGCGTTTGTTATCCTTTTTCATACAGCTCTGTGGCATCCTTAGTCATGACGCTTGCTTATTGTTTATCATAGAGCTCTACAGTCTCATGAATGACATAATGTTAATGTATGATGTAGCATGTTTACTTTACATTGGTTCAATACATTTCCGATCCATATATTGGTTATCAGGCAATAACTGTGGAGATATTTTTTGTCTCATGTAAAGTGCTGTAAGTCAACAGTAGCCCAATACAAATCGTTTTTATTACTTAGAAATCATTAAACGGCATTTGAGCCGATTGTGTAGAAGAACATTCAAGGAATGTAAATAGGGCACTGTCTCGTCCAGGAATATGAATACGTCACTGTCCCCTTCGGGAATATGAATAGGGCCCTGCCCAGCCCGGGAATATCAACAGAATTCTGCCATATCGACAGTTTTAGGCCGGACGATCAATAGCCTTAACTGGGATCAAGGTCACAGTCAAGCAACAAATTGAATTATCTGCAGTGAAAGCTCGCAGTTTTCCATAATTGGTTTGATTCTGGAATACAATGTCAGGCAAGACAGACCGTGGCTCGTGGGCCATTAAGAAGAGACGTTACGACCACTATCTCTCCATGATTTATCTCTCACGTTGACTGAAGACAGCGTTTCCCTGATAGTTCTTCCTCGTTAACTCCAGTGATGAAGCCGTGCGTCTATAGTTACACCGCTGTTGTAGTGAATGGTGGAGAAAATTTTCCATTTGTTAGGGCGTCCTGAGAACTGGCACTGAGGAAACCGTGGCAAATTACGTACAAGGATCTGATTGCTTTCTGCGATTCAATGATCATCGAGGCAATCAAACCGTCCGAACGGAAACCGCAGGACCATCTTGGAGATGACTCATCCTGCTTGGGGGGGGGGGGTGATGTCAGTGCAGGTAAAGGTGCAGTCATCTGAGTCAAGGGCATCTGCCGATGAACTCCCTAATTCAGATTTTGAGTTACTTGCGAAATTATAAGACGTCGTCGACCTCCATTTATGCGAGGCCACCGGAACAATAAAGCCTACTTTCTGTCGGATCAACTAGCTATGCCCACCCACGGCGCTGTCACCACCCTGCGTTACACAGCAACACACTGCCTGAGAATTAAACTTCACTCTAGGCGGTGATGTGTGGATGGTAACGAGTTATATTCTACATATGTTTGCCGAACGGGTACGCCTCGCTATTGGGGTCAATTAAGGTCAAAAGAGTTGTGAATGAAATTCATAACTGCACCTTGGCAACAATGCATTAATATTAAATGATTATATCATTGCTACTAGACACTAGTAGACAGTTAACCACAGATGTACATGAACAATTCGCAGTAATTTAATAAGTTGACTCACTGTTGGATGAAGGCATTTCACCTTCCTTTTAGTAGAAATTAGTCTAAAATACATACCGCAGCAACGTACTGTGGACGGTCCTGGTCTTCCTTTGGAGACACTTGCAGTTATAATAATTAAGTTGCCTATTTCGATTGCGTACTTATTGTGGTGTCAGGGCATTTTGTAACAGTTTCCCAGGAATGATTAAGTCGACAGGAAATGACGTTTGACCTACCACGCTGATGAGCTGTGAGATGCTGAGGCGGAAGTTGACGGTGACGACCTCGTTGACGGTGCGAGCGGGCCGGATGAGCGGGTTGTAGCGGGACGTGTTGAACAGCATGGCGACTAGCCTCTCCTCGGACTCAGCGGCACGTCCGGCTAGGGGAGAATACACATGGGATGTTAGAGGTGTACCTGTAAGGGCTGGGGTGGGGGTCTACTGAAACAGGGCCAAGAATGGCGGCAGGCAGTCCGTGTGACATTTGGGACTGCACTGAATACATAGATCATCTAAATCGTGTTATATATGGGACACACTGTCCTTATTCTACAGTTGTCTGTGATATCTTGTCGTAAAGGGGACAGCCAATTGTGGATGTTGTGGTTGTTCTTTAATTTTTACGGGGGAAAAGGCACATTGGGCCTGTCGATTGTAGTCAGTATTCGCGCGATCCCGTAGTCTCTGTATGTTTCTACAAGACTTAGTATAGTTAGTAAGTCTACAAGTATAGGCACGTTCTGAGTTAATGAAATCAATATTCTCTAGTTGGTTACGTTGTACTTGAAGTCCTGGTTATCTCAGTTCTTCGGTATGCACGCAAACTGGTCGGACGTAGGCGGTGATGAAGTATGTTACATCACTGTTGTTGTTTGAGTTCATTAACCTTGAATCTCTACCCCCTCCGGCAGCTTCCAGTTTTAGGTCGTTCAGAGCCAATTTCCATGATTGAAAGCGATTCGTATCCACCGGTCCCGGCGGGTGGAAGTAGAGAGGAGGCAACAGCCAACAGCAATTGAACTGCCATCCGTCCAGCCGCAGAAACCGATAATTCTATTAAGTAAGTGGAGTGGCCTCCAGGGGACTCCAGCCGCCCAGCCGTGCCAATTAACCCACCGTGCCCTCCACCGGGCCGTTACAATACACAAATCCATTCCCATGGACGGCATCAACACGTGTGTCCAGGAATTCTCCATTCCCGGAACGGCAGATCCGCCGTCAGCCTCAGCACGTCAGGTGTCGAGCGACTCTCCATTCCCGGAATAGCAGCTCTACTGTCAGCCTTAGCACGTTACCTGTCATCTAGCATCTCTCCATTCCCGGGATAGTAGGTCTGTTGCATACCTCAACACGTTACCTGTCCAACAACTGTCCATTCCCGAAACAGTCGACCTTAGCACATCTTTTCGTCCTCGGAATATGTGAAAATTTCACTATTCCTGGCCTTCAAGTTCATTTTGGTTTTGGTTCTGTAAATGTTAGCAAATTGTCCTCTAATGTAGTACGTATTTACAATCAGGGACAATTGATGGAGGTTTCTGCCATATTTGAAGCTTTGTGGACGTTCCAAACTTGCGATATTAGTATCAGTCCAATATCTCCAAATGACACGACCAGGTCTTAACTCACCTATTAAAGTAGACCTAGCAGGACCGGCCTCTGTGCAGTCCTCATATACGCATATACGGCAATTCACCATCCTCGAAATTGCGATGATCAATATACACTCTATCCAGGGCCATATACGCAATATCCTGGGCCATATACGCAATATCCTTCACCATGTATGCACTATCCAGGGCTGTGTACGCAATATTATTGGCCATGGATCTGTCCAAAGCCATGTAGGTAATATCTAGGGCAATATGAACATCCTTGAGAGCTATCAAGTGCTATATATGGTCTATCAAAAGCCATAGACGCTCAACCCAACGCCATGTATACTCTATCCAGCGCTATATACGCTCTAAGGGCCACATGCTCACATATCTAAAAATCGCACTATCTATCTATGGCCGCATACGCAATATCCAGAGCCATGTACGGAAAAAAATATTCTTGGCCAAGTACAACTAGTCCCGACCTGGAAAGCACAGAAAATAACGCGCTCCCAAATTGAATCGCTCATCGGGTCAGTGGAGGCCGCATTGAAAAGGCCATGATCCGCCTCGCCGCGATGAATAGAATTTCCCCGGAGGTTCATAATCGAAAGCGATGAGATGCACAAGTGTGATGGATGCGCCGCTCTAAGGGGGGTTCAGGGGGCGTTGTGTCAACCTCCAAGCAGATGTTGGGAGGAAGTTTTGATCGGCAGTCAAGCTTCAAGAACCCACCGTACCCCTTCTGACGATTAGCCTACCCTCAGAAATTTGGTGCATGTCCTGCGAGGTGTTGCGCAAGTGCTGCCCTGCACTCCCTGACCTGTTACTATGTGTTACTACTTGTTCCAGGAGCATCTATCAAAGCCTTTGCCTCAGCCTCCAGACACGGCCTAATGGACTGGAGGTTAGCCGCCGTTGTAGGGTAAATATCTGTGACGTATTGCATCCATTTACCCGTTCATACAGTTTAAGTTAACTCGGGCGCTGGAACAAATAGGTGTAAGCCTATACTGAATTATAAAACGATATATGCCAGTGGTAAAGCTTCCTTTAAACCCATGTGTCAGTCCGTGGCCATATTTCAGACGAGCATGCCGTACAAACAGATTATCATCCCAACCAGTCCGCTGATTATCACAGTCAGCCCGGTACAAGCGTGAAGGGCACAGGCACGCACAGTGGAGATATGCGTCATTGTATTCAAAATAACGCGGTACATGTAGATATTCAGGTGAGCGCACAAGGATTTGATCATGGTGTCTGCAGATCTACAAATCTACAGATTTCTGTGCGTATAAATACATCAGCTGCACACGACACAGACGAACAAATGATGGTAACGCAGCCCCCCTGTCCGTAAAATTTAGTTCAACCCCTTCAGTGACACCCCTTCAGTGACACCCCCTCCAGTTCCACACCTTCAATTCCACCCCCACCCCCCGGTCCGCAGCGGTCTGTCAGTGACTCCCTCTACAGCAGCATTGCAATGTCAAAACATAGGCGCATGCTGGAAGTGAAAGGCACAACTGATAAGAATTAACGAAAACGTTTTGGGAATGTATTTGATGACATGAGTTTGTGTTCAGAAGAGTTCCTTATTTCAATATTCAGCCTAATTCCCGCTGCTTATCGCTACTGGCACGGCACAAACCTGCAGTAAACCTGGGTAGACAGGCGGCGGGCCCGGGGGAATTATGACTGAACGGTGTCAGCCGGGGGAGACGCGCAGAAACATACATGAAACGTGTCTGGCCTCTTAAGTGGCTATCCGTAAGTGTGAATTTATCTATCTTAGGTGGGATCTTCAATCTACGACTGGCAACATGTCTAGTTGAACTTTAATTCCAATGGCTCTTTTGCTTCCCTTTGATGGTGTCTTCTCTTGCGATAACCTGAGCGATTGTTTTTCTGTATAATGAATGAAAAGTTAACGTTTTATTGGGAACATGTCATAAATGTTTCATGTACGACCTTACAATGGAAACTTTGCAGACCTCTTTATCCATGAGACATGTTTTGCAACGGCTAGATGTGATTGCGAATGAATTGCTCCTTTGCAAGACAAATTCAAAGGAATGAGCAAAACGACGGACTCCTACTTTTCTGTTACTGAAGTGCATTGAGATGCCCAGGAGGTGAGGTTGTATTCTTGTAAAGCAAACAGATGGCATCAAGCAGAACCTCTTAATTCGTGTTTTGCACTCTTTTTCAAATATTAACTAAATAAATTTGCTATATAACCAGATCTGAACATATTACTAGTATCTTCTTAGCTTCAGACTATATGTCAAGTTTTGGTACGAGTAACGGCTCTAGTGACACATTCGGTCCCGCATTACTACACAGCTCTGTGTTGGAGTCCTGACGTGTCCGGCTTGACGTTAGTCTCATCGCCACGCGTTTCATTGCTGAGCTGGGCGGATTGACGACCGGTCCGAGCATGGTGCTTAAGTTATTTGAAAATCAGATGGGAACACGAATTTTAAAGACTTGGTGTAAAACGAAACGAAAAACACGCTGGTTAGCTGGAACAAACACGCTGGTTACACCTAATATGCTACTCGTAATTATTAGTCATCCTACATGCACGTCCTCCGTACTCAACTGAGGCCTCAATTATTTTTCGTCATAACATCGCAAAAATGACCTAATTAAAGATACGTCTGGGGAAACGGCCTCAAGGATTCAGTAGCCTGGAAATACAGGCGTGACGACCTCCGGACAAGGATTCGGTAGTCTGAAAATGCAGGCATAACGACCTCGGGACCAGACTGGAATGCCATCCTGACGCCCTCGGGATGAGTCCCGTGCAGAAGATATGGAAAATTGGAAAACCGCTAAGTAATATTTCCCTTTCATGTACAGGGGAGGGGTGGAGAATGTAGTGTGTGACTGTAGAACTATAAATAATAGATACGTACAGAACGCTGTAGGTTTCAGTCCTCTGTAGTTAACCGGTTTTACCTCCGGTACCGACGAACACGAGACCGAGTAGCTATAATGTCACCTTGTAGGAGGGCAGCACACTGCATAATACATACATACATCCACGGAGCTTCCGACGGGGGAGTGATATATTACATGAAAAATTTAAAATCTTTACATCTCTGTACAACATGTCCTATATATGTCTCATGCATAAATCAGCCCGTGGCGGTCGTTTATATCAACAACTCCTACCAGCTTGCTATTGAAGTATAGTCTGTTTTTAACTGCACTATGGAGCAGTCGGCCTAGTAAAGGATACATTGATTCTGTTCCCGACTCCTCGCAGATCCTATTCTGGAAATCTTCATAAATAAATAAATAGCGGTCTGTAAGGGTTCAAACCGAAGCAGTGTGTTTTAGACACTGCTTCGGTCTAAAAACGTACGCCTGGGCCTGCATACGTCCTCCAAAGACGTGTGGAAGTAGTGTGGCAACTGTGACCAACATCGGGCCAGAAGTTTTGAGTGGACAAAGAATAGAGCAGTATTGAATAATCACGGCCCAGAGGGCCAAATGCAACATATGACAAGTCCGGCCTTACAACATAGAGAAGTAAACGGTAAACAGACATTTATTTGTATCTGAGCAGAGAACGAACAATTTTGTCAATTCTCAGTGTACAATAGCCACAAATTGCTTTTTGTATTGAATACATGTGAATACAATGCAAGCTTCCATGTAATCGGTTGGGCGGATAGGCACTAATCATACGACAGAATCCATTGTATATCCCACAGTGGCTGGTTCATATTGGTCACAACTAGCTGTTCATTCAGCCTAGTTACAACTAGCGATTCATTCAGCCTAGTCACAACTAGCAGTTCATTCAGCCTAGTCACAACTAGCGATTCATTAAACCTAGTCACAACTAGCGGTTCATTCAGCCTAGTCACAACTAGCGATTCATTCAGCCTAGTCACAACTAGCAGTTCATTCAGCCTAGTCACAACTAGCGATTCATTCAGCCTAGTCACAACTAGCAGTTCATTCAGCTTAATCAAAACAAGCGGCCCATTCTGCCTAATCACTACTAGTGGCTCATTTAGCGAGGGAGCATAAAAACCCTCCTCGATTCACAACTAGTGAGTCATTCATGACTCGCGAGCTGATGGACAATAGAACTATCAAACCACGCTAAGAGAGGAGCAGCCATTCCACTGTTTCCCGACTTATGACGTGTCCAAATGTCGAGTAAAATGACAGTTGATAACAATGACACTGATACGTGTGCCGGTAGGGAGAGAAGAAACCCAAAATAAATGAATTGGAATTCCGAAAATTCAGAAAACGGCCGAACCCCAAATTTACTGCGTTGGTCAAAAGATAAAGAACCGGAAAAAGTCAAGATGCGTGAGTTGGGAGGCAGACGATCTACCTGTTCAGATTAACAACTTTAAGGGACTATTCCCACGTTTATTCTATACATCATATTTGAAAATTAAAGTGTAAAACCGCTTGACTGACAACCAGCCTATTTGTTGTTCAGCATGTTTCCGCTGATCCAAATTTAACGCCACTCAGAAGTCACAAAGTGGCTCTGTTTCCCTGGATTGATAGGAAGATGAACTATGAGATGAGTGGACCTATCTTCAAGCAGAGCTTCTATCGGAGGCTAGTGTTAATTAGGGTTTTACAAATGTTAACCGAGATGGGGAACAAACTCACCTTTCACAAGAGCTGCAATCAGGACGGACAAGAGCCAGGACCGGTAAGCAGCCATCCTGGGCAACGTTTCGTCATCGTCAGCTAGCCTGGATCCGGGCTGGCCCGACCAGAAGTTGCAGATTCTGCTAGGCTAACGAGTAGGAAGGATACACTTGTGCACACACGCAGTTATAAATGTGGAGTTCCGTGTCCGTAGGTCAGAATTCCTCAGGCCCGGACGGTTTTCGGACGGCCAAGTTTGTTGCGTTCGCTTGGAGACTTCAAGAGTTGTCTCAGCCGGAGATTCGGTCGTGATTTTTATGTTTTGACGTTTAGCTTTCAACCGTGAGGATAACGCCAGTCAGAAATGTTGCCGGATCGCGATACAGCCCGGATACCCAGTTGTTTTCCACTGGTCCTGCGGCCCGTCCCTGTTACAGAGAGTGTTTTCGATCAGTCGGGATGCCCTACAAATTCCCACCGCTTGTTTTCCGCAGTGCTCCCGAAGCCACCTGAGGTCCGTCCTGCCCGCGGCGCGTCCTACAATATCTGGGGCTGCGCGAGAAATCCTGGGGTGGGACGGTCAACTGGTGCGCACAGGGGTGACCTTCCCGAAACCTGCCTTTCAGCAGGGTTTATACAACAAACAGCCCTGCCCTGCCTCCCCCGTGACGGTGAAGTATCTGGTCCAGCGCTCACAGGTGAGGAGGTAGGTAGCGGCGGTTACTAAACAATCCTAACGCGACTGCGAGTTTTCCGAGAACGTTCTTCACCGCGATCCTCAACAGGCTGCCAGCGCGTTAGCAGTACCAGAGCGGCAGCCTGCTCTTCAATTAAAGCGGCTGGCGCGGCTCCGCGCGGATGCAAATTTCCCCATCCAATCAATGTTTCCGCGGCCCGGATATCATTCATTACGGGGAGCGCGCGGGTGGAGAAGAATGGAAATTTATGCCGGATTTGTCCGCTACATTGTCCGCCAATGGATCCGATAACAAAGGTCTTCCCCACACATCATACAAACGCACTTACCAGCAGAATGCCGTCGATTTACGCTGAGGATTCCACTTCAAATGGCAGAAATTGCGGGGAACTTGTGGAGCTCAGTAGCTTCTACTTAACTATAAAAAAATTCCTCTCATCGGTCCGTCTTCATTCCCTTTGACAGGTGAGAAATAGATGCGATACAGATGCACCCGCCATAATGACGCGTTAGTCCTTTTCAATCATGTTTTCACCCCCTGACCGGTGCTAGGGCGGGCTGCTGAAGCGGCGCGGTGGACACAAACTATGAGGCAGAAGAAACACGCAGTTGAGACGAAACCTGGTGCGGAAACACGATATGGAAGACGGGGAGGGGCGTGTAGCATTACTAGAGATAAACATTAGGGCGGAGAAACAAATATGGTCCCTCAGAGGTTCCTGTGTAGTTAAATTTACCACATACGCTCTGAGACTCTACGACGGTGAATCAAGTTTAAAGGCAGGATTTCAGACAGGAAACGATGCCCAGTGTAGGTGGTGCCATGTGCTCCTAACACGTGCTCCTAACTGCACCACTCCACGGTGACAACAGCGAAACGGACGCTCACGCTGTCATTGAGCCGGTCTTTTAGTCCTACCTGACGATATTGAATGTACTTTAACAGTGACAGGTTCACACTGTGACGTTACGTTGTAACAACGACACCTGTGTGCACTGATGCGGTACGTTGTAACAGCGACAGGTGTGCACTATGTTGGTACATTGTAACAGCGACAGGTGTATACTGAGGCGGTACGTTGAAACAGCGACAGCTATACACTATGTTAGTACGTTATAACAGCGACAGGTGTGTACTGGGGAGGTATGTTGTAACAACAGGTGCGCACTACATGTAGGTCTGTACGTTGTAAAAGGGAGAGGTGTGGTGTGTAGTACACGGGGGCGGTGTGTTGAAACAGTGACAGGTGTGCAGTATGGCGGTATGTTGTAGCCGTGACACGTGACGTGTGTTTTATGGCGGTGCGTTGTAGTGTTTGTTTAGAACTAACACGCGCACCTCCGAACAAAGTTTGTCTCCTGCCAGCCCAATGACAGGTGAATCTAACACAACCCGTCCGATCGCGGCAGTTCCGCGGAGCCTGTTTGTTATCTTTCAATTCCCCTTGCCATCGATCCACCCCCGGCCTGCCGATACGTCAGCGCGGAGCACAGAAAACCCGGCAAAATTACCCGCCAGATGAATGACAGATATGACAGGATATCGGCAAAGGGTTTAGAGCGTCCATCTCGCGGGATTAGGCCGTTTGGAGCGGGATCTCCGTGGCGGCGCGTGTAGCGCAGTGGGGTGTATCGGGCAGGGATCAGCCCTAATCCCCCCGTTTGTAGCCACCCAACCTCTCCTATCTACAAACATCACTCAGGTGCACGTTTATAGCCACCCAGCTTCTCCTATCTACCAAACATCACTTAGGTGCACGTTTGTAGCTACCAAGCCTATTCTATCTAGAAACACCACTTTTATGCAGGTTTGTAGCAACCCAACCTCTCCTATCTACAAACATCAGTCAGGTGAACGTTTGTAGCCACCAAACCTCTCCTATCTGCAAACTTCACTCACGTGCAACTTTGTAGCTGCCAAACCTATTCTGTCTACAATCATCACTTATATGCGAGTTTGTACCTCCCGTTTCTCTTATCTGTAAACATCACTCATAGAAGTTTAAAACCCCAAAACTCATGCTCTTCCAGGGCACATATCTCTTCCCTCTGTTCCTCCCCCTACTGATCATGACCTTGGCTCACTCCTTCTGTCCATCTCTTCTCTTGTTTGCCATGTCGCCCCACCAGCAGTGCGTCTGACCTTTACCAAAACGTAATCTATGCTCCATAACACTCTCCGCGAGGTTCACACACACCGCTTCTAAGGAGGGTCAGTACGACTACGAGCCAAGCACCGCCCGAACAGCCTCCTGGGAGTCTTACCTACAAGGGAAAAGGTAAAACAGCAGGTCACCTCCGACCAGGGTGGTTCAAAACTAGCTGGCTGTCTCCTCTACTATCCCACCCCAGCGTCTCCCCATGCCTACACTTACCCTGTCCCCTGCCCATATCCCGCACCTGCAACCCCCACCCCACCCTTTCCCCGTGCTTGGATACTGTTAAACGCTGCCGTAAATCGTACGGACCCGTCCGCTCCCCGTAAAGCCTGCTTAGGAGTCCATTAAACCGTCATACTCGGGCAGCGGGAATTATGGCGCCAAACATGCAGACGGTAAGGTCAGGTTTAGAGGTGTGACTCGGCCAGCTGCCGGCTATGGAGAAAGTGGAATCACATTATGTAAAGCGCCAGTTCTGAAATAGTCCTATGATGGAATGGACTTAATATATGTATAATCTATAACACGTTTCTTGCACATTTATATCATCTATAACAACACGTACTTGCGCATCATCTATAACAGCACGTTACATGTGCGTTTGTATCATCTATAACTGCATGTTATGCATACAGGCGAGTTGTCTATCAACGTGCAGAGGAAGCTGCTATAACTGCACGTTACATTCGCATGTGGGAACGTGTAGGAACGTATCAGCACCAAGAACGGGCCCACTCCCTGGGAACATGCTTGTATCAGCACCAAGGACAGGCCCCCTTCCTGGGAACATGCAGTAGTGTATGTATCAGCACCAAGGACAGGCCCACTGTCTGGGAACATGCAATAGAGCATGTATCAGCACCAAGGACAGGCCCCCTTCCTGGGAACATGCAATAGAGCATGTATCAGCACCAAGGACAGGCCCACTCCCTGGGAACATGCAATAGTGTATGTATCAGCACCAAGGACAGGCCCCCTTCCTGGGAACATGCAATAGAGCATGTATCAGCACCAAGGACAGGCCCACTCCCTGGGAACATGCAATAGAGCATGTATCAGCACCAAGGACAGGCCCACTCCCTGGGAACATGCGTAGTAGTGTAGGCATCAGCACCAAGGACAGGCCCACTCCCTGGGAACATGCAATAGAGCATGTATCAGCACCAAGGACAGGCCCACTCCCTGGAAAAGTGCTGGAAATTTTGGGTCAGAATTCTCAGAAATATACCAAAGATAATGTCAGGCAAAAGCCAAAATATTGCCTCCATAAAATCATTTATTGGTTCATATTTACTTCTCTACACTATCTAGGATAGTTAAAAATATTCTTCAAGATCTTATCTTTGTGAACATATTTTAAAAGTGTGTAGACCGCCTCAGAAAAAAAAAAACTAGGGTACATTCAGATTGAATCTATATAAACGGCAACGTAACTTCTCTAACATCAAACAACGTAAGGGCTTGTGTGCATGACATGTTTTATACAACTCGAAATAACAAAAACTGCAGCATCTCTTTTTGTTTGCCTCCTGTTAGACAGGGTTCAAGGCTTTAGATTCCGCGTCTCTAGAGTTTCTGCCTTTCATTTGTCTTAACCATGGTAAGTACCAAGTTCTCATCGTTACAGTCTAGTCATTTCTTCACGCATAAGTCATTGGAGACCTTTGAAGTTTGCTTGATATAAGCCTAACATCTTGCATTGGTAATGCCCATTCTTATTGCTTATATTTTGTGTAATTGCCAACATTAACAATATATACAAACTTACTTCAATGACAACAGTTTCTGCATTATTACCTACTATAGATATAAACATTTCCGATGTCTGAAACATTTTCTTATCTTCATAGACTTGCATACATGTTCTATTTTCATATTCATAGGTCCACAAGTTAATATGCAACTTAATGAAAATAAATACATTGTGAAACTACAGTCTGGTAGATGATTGTGACATCAGTTAACAATAATAAGATACCTAATTGGCTGGTAGACAAGAAGAATACGAGATGTCTTCATTACTTAAGACAAGAAAGAAATGTCATGATAAAGCGATCACCATGATGTCTTAAGTAGCCAGAAGAGAAAAAAATAACTCTGTATGTAACAGCTTATGAGGTGACCTGGGTCAGTAACACCAGAACAAAAACAACAACAACAACGATGAAAAGAACAACACCCGACTGGAAAACTTAGCATTCTTCAGAATAGCCTTTCCTGTTTGTTTACATTCAAATAAAGATAGACCAGAGTTTGTATAGAGTAGTTGATAGCTCATGGGAAAAACACAAAAGACTTGTTACTAATATTACTGGAAAATAGACATTTCTTAGAAATGAGGGGTTAGCTGGTCTTGTGGAATACATACTTTGCGCCACACTGTAAATGATATGCGTATTCTTACATTTCAACAAAATAACTTACAGCTATAAGTTTTAAATAAATAAGAGCTCCAACCACTAGGGCATTATAGTTTACTCTCAGTACTAATTCATTTCTTGTTTTAAAACGTACAAAATACGAGCTATAATCGGTCTGTCTCCAGATTTATTTGGTAACAATTCTCCAGATCTTTGTGCTTCAGCAGTGCACACCTCTGACTCTCAGTCTGCAACACGAGGTGATAAACAACATGCAAAGTTTGAGCCTGAATGCTTTACCTACTTCTATTGATCAGGTCAGTGAAATGTTCCAGATGGAATAATATTACAACCTTTGTTGAGGATATTCTGTATATTTACAACTCGAGTAGCGTGAGTGCCTGGGCTGGACATTATAGCTTGACATATTTATTCTGTGGTCCAGGGTCGGGAACATATATGGGCTGCTGGTCGGGGTAGCTCTCAGGATGTTTGGTGTCGAGTTCCACGGACTCCCCCAGGAATGCCACTGTCTGGTCCAGTGCGATGCTGTGGGTATTCCGGCTGGGGAAACGGAAGTTCCGCAGTTTCTCCGGCATCTTGATGGTGTAGGGGCTCTTCCTGTTGCGCAGATACCTGAAGATGAGCACGGCACCCACAAACAGGAACACGGCAAGCACTGCAATGATCACGCCGGCAATCACGCCACTGTGACTGGCGTCCTCTGGGAGGGGTGGACCTAAGGGGAAAACAGGCAGAGTGTGAAATATAACATTCAGTTGTAGGCTAAAGGTAACTTCTCTCCTAGCTAGTGCTGTTTAAATACCACAGACCTTTGGTGCAGTGATACTGTTAGGGAAAGTTACATTTTCATAATCAACCATGTTTTAGGGCTTGTGGTAATCCAGTATGATGTGGTACCTACCAGACACATTGATGACAGCACTGGCCTGGTCCTTCCCAAAGCGGTTCTGTGCCAGACAGGTGTAGAGTCCGGCCTCTGACAGACCGACCCGGATCAGCTGCAGGCCGCCGCCCGGTAACCGGACATGCCGTGAATCCACCGGCACCTGGGGAGAAGAGGGCAGTTTGGTCATGTAACCACAGTGTGGTTTGGTGTATGTTATTTGTATCCACTTGTTTGTTGATATAGGTGTAGAAGACCATAGGAAAATTGATGTAATTTTACTGTGTCAATAAAGATTTCTTTTGCAAGTAACGTCCAGTCCAGTTTGGTCGATGTCATATAACCACTGTTTGGTCTCATACTACAATTTGATCACCAGCTGCCCTGTTTTCCCTACCTCTATTCCATCCTTCAGCCAGGTGATGGTTGGGGTCAGCACCCCGATGGTCTCACATTGGAGTTTGATGGCCTCCCCCGTGGACAGGTTGTAGCTCAGGGGACCCAGGGTGATGTGTGGAGGACCTGCAGCAGACAGGAAGGTTATGACCCTTAATGGTAACATTTGATATAACCACTAGGTTAAAGTCCTTGAGAAGGGATAACACTAGATAGACCAACTTTTGGGAAGCCTGAGTGCCATCCTGGTTAACGTTCACACTGGTTAGCTTTTTGGGACATCGATCAGATGATGACAAAATGTTGAGCAATATGCATATGCAGGAGTTGTGGAACCTAAGGAGCAACTAACATTTTCTGATTTTTCTCTTTTGTCAGCTTGAATAATCTCAGAGCACAGTTCTAATTTTTTACCCGCATAGTGTGTCAAGATCACTGCAGACTCTGGTCGGCAAGGTGCCAATCTACCAGCATATATGGAAACTTTGATCAATATCTGTCACCCCCTCTCCCATAGGGGGCAGAGGTCACTTCAAGGTCAAGTCTGCACTGCCACGACCCAGGATCTCAGGTTCAAGGAACTGGCATCCACAGAGAGAACATGTAAGTCCTTTGCTGTCTAGTTTGTATGAATCGTCTTGAACTTTCCCCTACTCACAGCCTTGTAAATTATCAAGGTGTACCAAAAGTCAGCTGTCAGTGAAACTACTGCCTGGTGTCAAATATACGGTAACATCAGCAGGTCCAAGGTTTACTGGGTCACCTGATGGACATGATGAATTTGCAATCCCTATTAATTCCTGGGGAGGCTTTATTGCCATGGGCTCGGGAAGGGGCAGCTGGGAAACACACCAGTATGATAACATTTATAAGTTTTCTTCTGAACAGAGGCTTTTCATTGGATCCCACTGCAGACAGAAGTCCTCAGGACCAAACCGGTGATGCGAAAAAACGTCCTATGGGGAACAGGCAATGTCACTATGGTAACGCTACTGCAGTGTGACACTAGAGAGTATTGTTAACATTTATAGGCCTGACAATTTCACGCCTTATTTATCTCACATATTGGACCTCTTGAGATGCAAAACTTTCAGAAACAGGAACTCATTCAAGCCTAAAGAAAGAAAACAAGCACACGTATAAGAACAAAATCGCAATGTTATGTTCTATTTTGCCCAAACTTGTGCCAGTTTTGCCACTACTGACCAGTACAACATTTGTGCCAGTTTTGTCACCAGTGTAGCCAGTTGATCCACTAATCACCAGCCCTGCAATTGTGTCAGTTGTACCTCTAGTTATGACTTCCATTTTGCGGCTGACTGAACAGCCCCCAACTGTGTCATCAGCAGTGAGCCGACCACAGGAAAATAATGACCCCTCCCCCGTTAATTCATGGCTCACCCCTGGTTAATTTCCAGTCAGGTTGAGCAGCCAGATGGGGCCAATGAGACAAAATCCCTCAGTGCTGAAAATGTCAATACACTAGTTGGAAAGCCATTTTAGTTTGCCTGTAATACCCACAGATGAGGACTGTTTGAAACAGCACAGACCATGTCAAGCATCTGGAACTGTGCTGTTTGCCCGTTGGAGGGAGTGGCACTGGGCTGTTGCAGCCTGTAATGAGATTAATACAATGTAGCCCTGGTTTTAATACAGATAATTGGGTAGTTTATCACAGGCCACTGCAGGCCAATCCTGGGCAATCCCTAGGGATAAACACACGGGCCACTGCAAGCCAATCCTGGGCCATCCCTAGGAACAGACACACAGGCCACTGCAGGCCATTCATGGGCCGTCACAAGGGACAGACACACGGGCCACTGCAGGCCAATCCAGGGCTGTCCCCTGGGACAGGCACAGGCCACTGCAGGCCAATCGTGCACTGTCCCAAGAGACAGAGACATGGGCCACTGCAGCACAGGCCAATCCATGTTCAGAACTGATGTTTGAGTTATCTTTCAAGTAGGACTCTGAATCTGTACCATGTCCTTGGTGCTGAGCATTAGCTGTTGTTGCTTACCCAACATGTACTCCCATTTGGAAAAGGTTCATTATACCATTGTTCTTTTACTTTTTGAAAAGAACTAGGGGAATTACCACTGTACCATGAACCTATCAATTCTGTACATACCATCTGTCTCTTCTGTCATGACCAGTGGCCCAAGAATAAGTGGCCCAAGAATAAGTGATAATTTGGATGGAACGTCTGAGATTTGTTTCTTCTACCGGTGTTATCTGAACTTCACCCAAACTGAACTTGTGTGTAATAAAACAAACCCTGAACCAGGTATGGCAGAAGTTTAATGACTGCCCTGCACCCGCCAAAAGAAGGACATCTGATTACACAGGCAGAATGACTCACTGGAGAAATCTGTGTCTTCCTGAGGAAGTGACTAACTATGAGTAACCTCTCACCCTGAGTCAAGGCTGTATATGTAGAGGTGTACATCCAATCACTTTTATTGTTTGCTACATATCAACTCATTCCTGCTCAAATTTTTCATTCTTGCCATTTTTTCATAATTGTCTACACTTTCTGATGCATGTCAAAACTGTGGTTGTACTTGTCCAGCGTCCTATCTTGCAATTTCTTCCAGGGTTCTCCAACTAGTCTGATTAGTAAATGTGTTCAATGGTTTCAAGTGGTTCAAATACATATATACTTATTAGATTATAAATTTTTTGATTGTGGATGTAACAAACTAATGCACTGACCTCTGACCAACAGCTGGGCAAACTTGGAGACGATCATGACGTCATTGAGGGCGATGCAAGAATATGTGCCCATGTCTGACCGCTTCACATTCAACACCTGCAGACCTGAAACAGTACAAGCCATTAGCCTGGGACCTGCAGAAGTACAAGCATGGTACACAGTAAGCCTGGAACCTGCTGACTTGCAGAGGTACAAACATGGTCCTGTACTTGGACCTGCAGAGGTACATTCAAGTAAGTTAGCTTTATATAATTTTGCCAACAGAGCAAAGCGTTTATAATTAGGGGCTATCAGATTTATGGTTAAGTGCAGTTATGGTGACCTTATGTACCTTGTGCCTGCACAGCAAAGCGGTTGGTTGTAGGAAGGTTGTCCCCGTCCTTTTTCCAGAGCACCTGTGGGTTGGGGCTGCCTGTCACCACACACGGAATAAGTGCTGTGCCGTCCTCGTCAACTGTGACATTGACGGGCTCCTGCGTGTACCTGGGTGGAACTGCAAAATACACAATGTCAAATAACTGAATATACATACAAACTACAGAAAACACAACACAACAATTTTTTTGCACCATGTGTACTTGGGTCTAGGTGCTGAAGAACAAAAAGATTGGTTGCACCATGTGTACTTGAGTTGTATTGAAGAACAAAAAATGTTTGGTTGCACCATATGTATGGGATAGCAATGGTGTATCATGAAACTGTGTTGAGAGGTGTTTCCTTTATAATCGATTCTTATTGTATTGTGTTAGCAATATTCTCATGTGAGGTTTCAGGTCAACATGTAGGGCTGTGATTTCCCGAGTGTCTGTACTTGAGCTGCTAAATTTGGTTTGACATTGCCCCAATAGCCCAACAGGTCCAGAGTTGGTACTGAGTTTGACTGATGAAGCTCTCTTTGACATATTCACCACGCCCTCCTCTGATCATCATGGACGTTCTGTGGGAATTACCGAGTCCTAACGAGCATCTGGCCCAGTTTGCGCTGACTCCTAACTCAAAATGACAGAGTCCAGGCAGCCACTTAATGGGATTTGTGGAATAATTGCCTAGAAATGCTGTGGAAATGTCAACCCAAACTTTCTCCTCTGAAATCAAATAACAGAGACAGTGCATATTACAGCCTCCAGGCCGACTAGTACAACTTCTGGGTTCCTAGACTTTCAAATCCAGGAAAGAACCATGGCCTTCCGACAGGATAACCTCCCCCCCCCCTCTCACAAACACACACACTGTAATTCAGTCATGTCTCAACCAGGTGTTTGCTGATCAGATATTAGTAAAAGTGGAGACTCATTGCTGTTAAAGTGGCACAGATCACTTTCTCCAAATGCCAACTTCCACCTTAAAGGCTTCTGATGGATGACTAAAGACATGGCTGTAATCATCAAGCAGCCTAAAGATGACCTTCATTCACCTGGAGGTGATTATTGAAAGGTCATGATGTCTTTTATGTGACTTCTGTGTAGTGCAGACATTTTGGTATGTGGTTTGAGTGAGGGAAGTGATTTTAGTTATGCTCCAACAGTCCTTCCATATATGGTGAGTGCAATGCATGTCTTGATGAGTGGGGCAGAGGTCTAAAGTCTTTCCTTATATGGTGAGTGGGACAGGGGTCTGAAGTCTTACCTTATATGGTGAGTGGGACAGAGGTCTAAAGTCTTACCTTATACGGTGAGTGGGACAGAGGTCTGAAGTCTTTCCTTATATGGTGAGTGAGACAGAGGTCTGAAGTTTTACCTATATGGTGAGTAGGACAGAGGTCTAAAGTCTTACCTTATATGGTGAGTGGGATGAATGTCTATAGTCTTACCTTGTACAGTGAGTGGGACGGAGGCGAAGTCGCTCCCTAGGATGTTCTCAGCAATACAGCGGTACTCTCCACTGTCTGCCTGCTGCACGTTGTCAATGTACAGAGTTCCGTTCTCATCGTAACTAGTGTAGCGATTCTCCTCCAGCTGGTGGCTGTTCCGCTGCCACGTCACGTTGGACTCGGGCAACCCTGCGATCACGCACTGCAGACACGCACGGCTGCCGACCACCGCCACACCGGGCTTCACAGACACAACCTCAGGTTTCTCTGTAACACAACAACACAACATGGTCACAGTTAGCCTGGGTCCACAGACATCACACTATGGCCATGATAAAAACAAATAGTATAATCCAACAGTACAACATAGTAGTGCCCTCCAGGAATACCTAAACATGAGAAAGACATCACCCCATGCACACACACACACGGTCACATAAATCCACTGTAAAGCAATGCAGCAAACTAAATTCCCGCCTACAAATTCAGAGTATGGTTGAATATTATTAAAAGTATATCTACACACACACCATCAGCACCAAAGCCCAGTTGTTTACAGAGACTGACTCCCAACACAGATGCCCCTAGGGAGCGTCACGAACAATCAGGACAGCCATACATCAGAATGTGCCTGTTTGTTAACTAATTCTCCTAATCAGGAAGGAGATGAGATATGCTGCTGCATGGGAGTAGGATTTGGAGGGTGGTGTGATGTTGAATTGAATCAGTGATGTTTATTCCACATTGCAAGGTCAAGGTCATTGCAAGGTTATTAAAATGCTGGTTTGTCAGGTTTACCTTCAATTCTAGGGGTTTTTCAGGTTAATGCTGGTTTGTCAGGTTTACCTTCAATTCTAGGGGTTTTTTGTTTGTTTGCCTTCTAGGGTGAGCATTACTGACACCTGTGCAGTGCTGAAGGTATTGGGTTAGGGTTTGTTTGTTCGTTTGTTAGGTTTACCTTCAATAGTGAGGGTTGCTGACACCCGTGCAGTGCCGCGGGTGTTGCGCAGGAGGCAGGTGTACTCCCCCGAGTCCTCGCGATGTGTCCGAGAGAAGTGCAGGTTCCCGTTCCGCAGGACACTGACTCTCCCGCTGGTGACATCAGCAGCAGGCAGGGGTCTGTGGACAGCAAGGAGGGTAGTGGGTTAGTGGTGAATTGTGTACCTGCATAACCACATATAAACTCGTACCCATTATTAACCAGCTGTAAACTGACCTGCCATTCTTGAACCAGTTGTCCACAGTGACAGATGGTGCGGGGTCCCCAGCAGCCTGACATGCCATGTTGGCTGCGAAACCCAGGCGGGCCGTTCGGTTGGATGGCCTCAACTTGAACTCCGGCAGGAATGTAGCAACAACTGTGGAACAGAAGTATGAAACATGTCAGGGTGGCAGAAATGTGGAGCAGAAGAAGCCAACAGAATGCCACACATGTCCACCCCAGACTACTACTCCTTACACCTGAGCTGCACACCTGTCCTCCCCACACCTATGCTCACCTGTACAGTTGGTTCCATCTCCGACTTGCCCATCAGGACAGCCCAGGCAGACTGACGATGTCGCACCACCTCGGATGACTTCCACGCAGTTCACACCAGGATAGCAGCTGTCGCCGTGGCAATGGCTTGGTTCTGTCTGCCGACACAGGTTCAAGGGTGGATGTTGGTAGGGCGACCCATCACAGATCACACCTGGAAGGGCATGCAGTTGTTTTATCTATCCAATTCCTGCAACAGTTACTTCCTCTAATGCCTCAGAACAAATTTCAGTCCTGGTACAGGCTAACCTTTGACCCACCTGCATCCTCAGTGTGACCTGAGTCACAGTTGCCCTGACCCCAGCCTTTCTGCCGGCAGAACGTCAGGGACTGCTCATGTCCAATACACGCCACGTCGTCCATCCACACCGGCATGTCAGCTGACGCCCGACCAAAGCGCGATGAGCGCAGTGCCTGGACCGCCCGGCCTAACCCCAACTCCTGGCACACCACCTGCAGGTCAGAGGGCACAGGTCAAGTCAGAGTGCATAGACCAGGTCAGGTTTAGAGACATCCAGTATTCATCCAGTAAATGAATTTCAATTATATACTCTTGTCCTCACCTCTGCATCATGCAGGTCCCACTCATCGTGGCAAACCGTCCCCCACCTCCCATCATGCAACACCTCCACGCGGCCCTCCGTCGAGCTGGCTCCGCTCGTCAGACGTACCACCGGACTGGTCGGTCGCGCCGGCAGGACCTGGCTCAGCACCTCCCAGCCTTCCCACGGGGCACACTCCTCAACACAGGTGTAGTCTGTAAGGTACAAAATCATATCCTAAACACACTGTTACAAATTCACTCCTCAACACCTGGTATAATAGTCTGTGGGAAGACAGTTAGGATAGCATGTAGTCTTATATCAGGGTAAAGATAAAGTTAGGATCTATGATGGCTACACTTAGTGTTTAGAACAGACCTACCCCAGAGTGCGAAGCCAGGCTTGCACTGTCGGCACACAGCATTGTTGTCAGCACTGTAGCAGGACAGACAGCTGCTGTGACATGGCAGACAGCGACGCTGCAGAATGTCACCATAGTAACCATCTGGACAGTGGGCCACACAAGTGGTCCCATCCAGGAACAGTGGGTCAGCACAGCTGGTGCAGCGCTCCTTGCTGGTTTCACAGGTACTGCAGGCAGCTGCACAGTGCTGACAAATGCGGTCAGGTCCTGGGAAATAGCTACAGCACAAACAAGAGCATTGGATGAAACTCCACCTATTGATTCTCACAGGTACTGCAACATGAAGGGAGGTATGCATGTTTGTGTAATATTAGCAGTGGCTTAATTAAGTTAATAAATACCAACCCCTGTCCGCAGCTCGCCACACACTGCTGGGAAGAATCAGGGCCGCTACAGCGGACAGCGGCATCCTCCGTGTGCTGGCAGTCACCGTGACCGAGCCCCGCACTGTGCTTCGGACACTCCAGCAGGGTTCGCTCTGACCCCAGGCACTCCACGTCATCCAGCCAGATAGGGCCTTGTCCTGCACCGAACCTGCCGCCACTGTAACGAAACAACAACACTGACAATATAGCCTTTAACTCAACACTAACAGATAACACATTATTTTATCAAGTAGGATATGACCCCTGACCTGTAGGCTGCCACTGCGTTGCCCATGCTGAGCTGGCGACACACCACGGTGACGTCATGCATGTCCCACGTGTCATCACAGACCGTCCCCCAGACTCCATCATGGAACACCTACAGGAAGGAATTACCATTGGTTATACAATGTAGATTTGATGTAGTTCTATGTTCCACTATGAAGGTTTGTGTGGGTTCAAATCACCATTGATAAAAACACCATCATGATTACAGATCTGATGTAGTTCCACCTAGCTTTCCTGCAAATACTTTCCTTACATGTGTTTTGTTTACAGTTCCACTATGAATCCAAGGTTTCTATGGGTTTGAATCAACTTTCAAATTGATAAAAACACACAGTGACATCATGTCAACCCTGCCCTTATAACAGTCTATTACCTGGTTATAGGGGAACAACTTGGAATTAAAGATGTGCAGATTTGTAACAAGCTGCAGTAAGGCTTAAAAATTTCCAATCTTTTAACTTTTCAAACAAATTTCTGGGAGGCAGTAAAGACTTTACCTCCACTCTCCCTTCAAAGATGCTGGATCCGTTGACCAATCGTATCTCGTCGCTGCCTCGCATGATGAAGCCACTGCCGCAGTTGTCCACACAGGTGTTCTCCATACTCAGGTACTTTGGGGCGGGGCACTGGATACATGTGGTGGGACTGTCCCGACAGTCTGCACACTGGGAACTACAGAAACAAACAAACTGGTGAGTTTACCTGCCTTATTAAGTATCTAGATGTTGCACATGCATTAATGAACACCGGAATATTTTACCCATTATTAAACAGCTGGTGTTTTAACTTGTATGACTGAACACTTAGTGACTTAAACCTGCCTTAATTTTTTTTTTATTATTAGAAACCTGCTGGTTTTTCCTGCATTATTAAACAAGCAGTGATTTTACTAATACATGCATTATTAAACACCTACTGATTTACCTGCATTTTTTGCAAGTTCCAGTTGCTTGGTCGCCATAGTAACCCTGCAGACAGTAGTCCACACAGCGGTTCATGTCAGGGTTGAGGAATTGGCCTTCACTGCAGGCGATGCAGTGGTCAGGGTCGCCTTGGCAACGCAGACAGTTGAAGGAACACTTCCCGCAGCTCTTTCCATCCACACTGACGAAGTAACCATCCGAGCATTCAGCCGATGTCACACACACACGTGACTTATCTGGGCCTGAGCAGCGCACACCTGGAAGTAAATGGAACAAATTATGAACAAGGATGCAGAGAGCTGATCGATAGGACTCTACCATGCAGAACCTCCACAACCCTGGTAAAGAGGGTTAAGAAACAAACACAATGCTTAAGACATGAGAGAGTTTATGTGCTTATAAGACATGAGACTTTTCTCACCTGCGTCTTCTGAGTGGCGGCAGTCGCTGACTCCCCACCCGTTGTGTCCACAGTGGAAAACAGAACTCTCATTTCCAGAGCACTCCAGCTCATCCAGCCAGATCTGCCCAGAGCCCTGCCCAAACCTGCAGCACCAGTAAACAAACATCAGAAAACAATAACAGTAAACAACATCAGTAAACAATTATAACAGCATACATCAGTAAACCATTAAGTAAGACCTCCCTGTGCAAGACCCCCCTGTGATGTAAGACCCCCCTGTGCATGCAAGACCCCTCTGTACTCACACAGCCTCCCCCACAGCCTCCAGAGCTGTTCCCAGTTGAAGCTCCTGACAGATGACCTCTGCTTCGCTAAAACCAAACTTGTCGTCGCAGACAGTCCCGTAGATGCCCCCGTACTTCACCTCTACACGACCCTCAAATGGCGTTCGACCTCCCACCAGCCGGACACGGTCATACTGTGCCAGCTGGTACTCTGAACAGCTTGCCACACACGTGCTACCTGCCATTGTCAGAACAACCAAAGTCAAAGGTCAAACCTCTCCAGAGGACGACGTGCCAAAATCATATTATCCTTTTTTTATTTATTTATTTACTTCATGTTCACTGCAAAACAAGGCTCATGGGAGCCACTCAAATGATTTGGGTTACTGTACAGACATTGAGGACAGATGTCTCAGCTGTCAGTTTGAACTTACACATAGTTGATGAACATTTCAATTAAGTTGTTACAGCCTTAAAGTTAGATATATGTTGCATAAACTCTTTGCTTGTTTGTTTGTTCCTAACCTTGCAGGTACATGTCGTCAGGACAGCTGGTACACTGATCAGCAGTGCCCTCACATGAGGCGCAGGAGTCGCTGCAGGGCTGACAGGTCCCGTCCCCGTCCCGTGCGTGGAAGCCGTGCCCGCAGCTGGACACACATGTCGTGCCGTTGTTGTAGAAGCCGGGTTTGCAGCGGTCGCAGGTGAAGGACGTCCCGGCACAGGTCAAGCAGTTGGCAAAGCACCGCTGACAGGTGTGGTCCAACGCATTTCCATAGTAACCATCTGGACAGCTGGGCTGGCACTCACGCACTCCTGGGCCTGCAACACATTACACGGGTGAGCACATGCCCCTCCCCATCTGAGGTCTTTTTTTGTAGCATGTAGACTTTATCTTTACCATTCCCCATCACCACCCTAACCCTTCCCCATCCTAACCCCATACACTGTCCTGATCCTACCTTCACAGCGTATGGCGACATCCTTGTTGTGGTTACAGTTGTTTTCGCCCCATTCCTGTCGATAGCAGTCCTCCAGTCGTTGTTCATTGCCGTTACACATGACGTTATCCAACCAGATGGGACCCTGGCCAGGCTCGATGTCTTCTGACTCCAGATCTATCAACCCCACTGCAGCACCTAGGTACAGATATACAGGTTTATCAGCCTTGCTGCAACACTTTGGGACACATTGTAAAAGTAAGTCATTGCAAAATTCTATATTTATATATTAACTAAAAACTCAAAACCTAAAAACTTTGTTCCCCCATTTTCTCATATGATAACAACATATACTAATCTTAAGTCAGGCAGTATTGATGAAAAGTCTGGTGCTGTTATTTCCTTTCCAGAAGTTTCCTGTGGAATTTGTGTTCCCCCTATGACCTACCCAGGTTCATCTGCCTACAGGCTACAGTGGCTGCATCCAGGTCAAAGAAGTCATTACAGACAGTCCCCCAGTGTCCCTCATGTAAAATCTGAGGAACCAACAAAAACAACATGATTACAGAGGCCTTTAAATTGTTACATGTGATTGCTGCAATTTGAAATTAAATTTAAGGGATTTTACAAATGAAACTGAAATCTGTTTAGAATGAAATGTTAAATTTCTACCTCAATCCTGCCCTCTAATTGGCTCCCTCCTCCAGCCAATCGGATGGCAGCATACATGTTGCTCTGTGAGGTGTCCATCATGGCGGCATAGGTGCCGGAGGGGCACATAGTGAGACATCGCTGGTTATGGAAGACTTTTGGGGCCTTGCAGGAAGTACAGACCAGCTGTGCTGAAGAGAACTCGCAGGTGAGGCAGTCGGCAGGGCAGGGCTAGGGGTAAACAACAACAGGTCAACAACAAACAAGCATCATCAATGAAATCTACAGGGTCAAGGCGGGGATAAACAAGAACAGGTCAACAACAAACAAGGAAATACACATCAAAGCTTTTGAGTGAAGTAACAAATAAGAATCTTAATATATATGAAATACAGTGTTCTACAGACTACACGTTCAGCACCAAGGACAGGGCCTGTTGACCTGATGAAACCTTTATTGTTTTTTTCTTGTCAGTCATTGATAAACCTCATTAAGCACCTCAAAGGCACCATGCAAAATACTTTTTTTTCCTACCAAAGCTACTAGGCTAGGGCTGGAGATAAACAACAACAGGTCAATAACAAACAAGCAAACAAACATCACCCTAGTTACCAAATCTTGAAAACCTACTTGACCAGCTGAAACCCCAAATAGAGAAAACCCACCTCACAGCGGAAGCCATTGGGGTTGCCATAGCGACCCTGGCCACAGTCGGAGACACAAGTCTGGTTGAGCAGAAACATGTCTGGTCCGCAGGTAGGCTCACAGGACCAGTCCTTCAGAACCTGTGGGGCAGATGGGAGACAAGATTTACCAAAAACATGAATATTACCTTGCTTGTTGAAATATTTATTACAGAACTACATTGCAATAATACCACCATCTGTACTGTGAAATGAATTGTTAAGACCATCATGTTCAGTTAACTGCATGAGTAATAGTTGATGGTAAATTGCACCATGATGTTTCTTACCTTGTCAGCAGGACATTCGGTACAGTTACTGTCGCTCTCTCCATTAGCGCAGCGACCACAGACCTCCAGGTTACAGGGTTGGCACTTGCCCTCTGAGATAAGTCCAAACTCTGTCAGACCACAGTCCATAACACAGCGCCCGTCCCGCTGAAACACCAGAACAGTTACAGTTAGTATCTACATAGCTCCAGGTTTTAACAACAGTAAGGACACCTGTAAGAACACCAGTTCTGTAGGGACACATGTAGGGACACCTGAAAGTACACATCATGTACACACCTGAAGAAACATAGGAGCTTTACACCTGGTGCAGACTTCTTCCGACTCGAGACAGTCGAGACAGTTGGAAGTGCAGGGAACACACTCAGCCTCCCCACGCAGGTAGTAACCTACCCCGCAGGTGTCCACACAGGTGCCTGTCTCACCTGAAACAGAACGTGCAGGTGAATCAGGTGTTTCCAATGTAACATGCTGATTTTATGAGATTGGTTGACAAGAAGGTGAGTTCTGTAGGATGGGTCTGTGAGATGGTGGGTTCTGCAGGGCAGGTTTGAGATCTGATGCTGGGTTCTGTAGGGTAGGTTAATGAGATGTGTGTGTTTTTAGGGTGGGTGGGTTCTGTAAGGTGGTTTAGTGAGATGGTGGGTTCTGTAGGATGGGTTTGAGAGATGCTGGGTTCTGTGGGATGGATTATTGAGATGGTGGGTTCTGTAAGTTTGTGACATAGTGGACTCAGTATTGGTTTATAGATTAGTACCTCCTGCAGCAGGTCCTGAGCACTGCACACCGGCGTCTTCATGATGATTACAATCGTTTACCCCAAACTCCCTCTGCAGACAGTGGAACAGCTCACGCTCGTCCCCACGACACGACACGTTATCCATCCAGATCTGACCTGTAACACACAACAGGTCATGAGATGGTCATGTCAGACACAATAATCATCACATTCATCTACATGTGTACATGTACAAAGGAAGGTACAAACAGTTGAAAGCTTACCTTTTCCTGCCCCGTACCCTGCCGACCTGACTGCTGACAGAGCGCGCCCAAATCCCAGCTCACGGCAGACAACATCCGCGTCCCGGATATCCCAGGAGTCATCGCAGACCGTCCCCCATTCTCCACCGTACTTCACCTGCAGGGTGGAATAGACAGGGTCAAGGGCCAATGTTACGTGTCAGACAGGGTCAAGGCTACATGTCAAATAGAGTCACGGTTATGTGTCAGATAGGGTTGCTCAATCAGGGTTACCTGTATGAATCACGGGTGAGGCATCTTTTGCTTCATTGTGTAAAGCTGACCCTGTACACAAACACCAAACTTTAGTGACTTCCTACCAAGGTTACATAAGCCACGGGGACCTACCTCCACCCTCCCCTCAAACACAGTGGTACCTCCCACCAGGCGTAGGACGGCCTGCTTGGCCAGTTGTGGTTCACATGATGTAACACACTGGTGCCCCTGCAGGAACATGCCCTCATGGCAGCTGATGCAGTAGTTGTCTACGTGCCCATTTTTGCACAGACGGCAGTTGGAGGCACACGGCTCGCACATACGTGTCAGCGTGTTGCCATAGTAACCAGGAACACAGTCCTCCACACAAGTGTGGTCCTGAAAAATATCAGCAGACGTCATAGAGATCCTGGCCTGAAATCTTATTTCTCTCATTCATTCAGTTGGAGAGTCATATATATATAGTAAATACATGTACAGGTAGATAAAGAGATGAGAGTGCCAGCCTAAAAGGTAACCACAGCATAACTGTTTCATGGTGCAGGAAATGTGGAAAAGCTATGATAATATCTTCTTTGTACCTCCAGAAACCTTGGGGAGTCACATGACATGCAGCGGCGGGCGTCAGCATAGCACGTCAGGCACTCTGGTGCACACAGCTCGCACTGGTTGGTGTCCGGTACCCGATAGAAGCCGTCCCCGCACTCCGACACACACTGGCGTGACAGGTCGGGTCCTGAGCACCGAACACCTGAGGAGGGACAAGTTGGTAAAGATCACTTGTTAACAGCTGTCCCCATATGGCTTCACTGCTGCAGTCCAAGGCTAAGTTTACTTAACCTGATATATATTTTTGTCATCTCCATGAGAAGAGCAACTCCATTTGAATTGTGTCCAGGACTTACCGGCCTCCTCAGAGTGTCCACAGTTGTGTTTGCCCCACTCCCGATGTCCGCAGAAATCCAGCTGGCTCTCATCGCCATGGCATTCCACATCGTCAAGCAACATGGGGACGTCAGGAGAGGCTACTGGGAAGGCTGAGCGGACTGTAGCTGCAACGGCATCTCCTGTGTGGAGGAAGTAAACACAAACAATAGTCATATCACTGCAGCAGTAAACACAAACACTAGGACAGCTATAGAGTTATAATATACCATTCTTGTGCTTATTAGTTGTGGTGGACAGTCTCAGGGGTTTACTGTTCATTGTGACAGGTATGGGACAGGTGTGTGGCAGGCGTAGGGCAGGTGATCCCTTACCCATCTCCAGCTCCTTGCACACGACCCTTGCGTCCGGAAGGTCCCAGGCATCATCACAGATCGTCCCCCAGACTCCCTCGTGCAGAATCTCCACCCGACCTTCAAACTGTGAGTTTCCACCAATCAGCCGCAGCCGCTGCTTGGGTGGTCCACGGGTCAGAAGGGGCAGGCAGTCTTCAACACACCTGGGAGGGAAACAGTTGTGGTAATGTTATACATAGCAACACCTGGGGAAGATTCAGGTGTGGTAATGTTACACAGGTAGAACAGTTCCTTACCTGTTGTCCTTGAGGTAGAATAGTTCCTTACCTGTTAAAACAGTTCCTTACCTGTTGTCCTTGAGGTAGAATAGTTCTTTACCTGTTGTCCTTGAGGTAGAACAGTTCTTTACCTGTTGTCCTTGAGGTAGACCAGTTCCTTACTACCTATTGTCCTTGAGGTAGAATAGTTCCTTACCTGTTAAAACAGTTCCTTACCTGTTGTCCTTGGGGTAGAACAGTTCCTTACCTGTTGTCCTTGAGGTAGAACAGTTCCTTACCTGTTGTCCTTGAGGTAGACCAGTTCCTTACCACCTATTGTCCTTGAGGTAGAATAGTTCCTTACCTGTTAAAACAGTCTTACCTGTTGTCCTTGGGTAGAACAGTTCCTTACCCTGTGTTGTCCTTGAGGTAGAACAGTTCCTTACCTGTTGTCCTTGAGGTAGAACAGTTCCTTACCCTGTGTTGTCCTTGAGGTAGAACAGTTCCTTACCTGTTGTCCTTGAGGTAGAGTGGTTCCCTGCAGCTGGTGCATGTAGTGCCAGACTGGAAGCAAGTCTTGCAATTCCCCTCACATGGGCGACAGTAACCGGGCCACCCCTCCCCGAACAAACCAGGGCCGCAGTCTCGCACACAGCGCCCTTGGTCGGACATGTAGGTGCCATTTACACAGTTGTTCACATGGGGAATGCTTCTCCTGGCAATACTGCTGCCACCTGCAGGATAAGTGAAAGATCAGGTGCGTAACTACAGGTGTGTAACTATAGGTGTGTAACTACAGGTGTGTAACTGCAGGTGTGCAGGGACAGGAAAGTGCTTTTCACACAGCTGTCAATATTTAAGAACACTGAGAACCGTACAGTACAACTGACTAGTGTTCACGTTCCCCTCCCCCTACAGAACTGCACTAACCTAAGTGCTCACGCCCCCTCCTTTTTATTCCAGACCTATACTGACTACGTAAGATTTCACGCCCCCCTCCCCCATTACAACCTTACTAACGTTCACACCCCTCACCATTAGAGCCGTACTATAAACTAGTATAGTTGTTATGTACACCCCCCTCCCCCATTAGGACCGTACTGACTTGAGCTCTGTTGACATCCTGCATCCTGTTTTGGATCGATCTGATCGATCCGCCACCACTAACCTTCTCCGCTCGGACATTGATTACATTTTGCTGGTCTGGCAGAGAAGGAGCGTTCAAGAGGAAACTTCGGCAGAGGCCAGGCGGGAGAGTTCGCAAAGTTCGGGGTTTCCCCATGTCATCATTAGGCCACAGCAAGTCATTTCTATGGATGACATAAGCTCGCGCATTGATTTTCGCCTGATTTTGAAAAAAGCAAGAACTTTTGTAGTCCTCTGACAGTGGTGAACATGCCGAAATGGACAAAATGGCATATCTTGCCATGCCGAAACGTGGATGGCAGATGAATATGAAGAGGAGAGACAAGACAAGGCTCTGATTTGTCTCTTACTTTGGTATTTTTGATTCCTTTTATATGTTCCCACGGCCCACTGAATCAAAAACACACAATGATTAAAAACTTTATTTTTTCAAAGTTGTTTCAGTGCCAAATGGATATTGTTATAGTTGGCAGTAAACTTAGCACAATATAGGTATCGTTTCTAGTTAAACAAGGTTTATGATGTCAAATTTTGAAAAAGTAGGAAACTTTTTTTTTTGACCCGCCTTGTTTTTTTTCGCCCTAGCTATCGCGTTAGATTTGGAGTCTGCGGAGGCTGTCATCCATACCATTTTCTTGCTGTTGCCTTACGTCATACAGTATGAGACTACGGGAAGGTTTATACAGTTCGATGTTATCCCTAGTCATGATTGATTACATCATACAAACAGACGGTACGGGAGGGCTTATAAAGATGTTTTCCTGGTGGTGAAATCCTGCCCACCCGGCATGACGTTGCAGTTTGTTTTGAGAGACGCGTTCATGCTGAAACAACTTCCGCGTGGCTGATGTAACCTGGGCTGATGCAACCTGCCTGACGCAACAGTTGGGTTCACAACAAACCGTTCAGTTCGGAAGATACCGTGACCAGGCTACTGGCACGCGAAGGATGTGAAAGAAGTATTTCGCAGTCATTATAACAAGCATAGTATCGGTGTTTACGTACATTGCCAGGATGGGTTCGTTCTGTCATGACTTGAAAGGGACTTGTGAAAAAGCTGAACAGGATGAACTGGGGTGATAATATCAAAGCATTGATAATTGTAAAGTTTAAGTTTGAAGGGTTTCCCTTAATAGTTTTATCATATAGTTGTTTGAGCCTTTTTGTTTATATATAACGATGTATTTTGCCAACATACTTTCAGTTTGCCCGCCAACCGGTTCATAAACACCAAGGAGCTTTAATATCTTGATAAACACTGATAGTCGGGAGACAATTTGCTGCGTGGCCTCTGCCGTAGCAAAGACTAGTTACAGCAGTAATACATGTACCTCCGTTAACGTCCATTCAGCCTTCTGTTATCATACTTACAGTCTCGGTTTGGGGAAGGCCCTAGAAAGGTCTGCGACCTTGACTGCATTGTTGTATGTTTACATGTATGTTTTTTATCATGTCGTTATAAAATGAATATTGATTTATTTTATGTGCGAAGAAGCAAAAAGCAACTGGAAAGTGATCGAGCTCGTATACCGGTGGTAAACTCAGAATTAGCCGGCGGGCCGCTCTGCGCATCCTGGATGACGGTGAGGGATATCCTGGATATTTGGAAATAGCCGGGCAGTGTGCCAAATATCTCCAAGCAGATGATGGGAGCAAAATCTTTCCTTACAGCTGCCCGTTTTGTTATGAATTGCTTGTTGAGGAGGCAGTTTGTAAGAGAAAAGGGCAGCTGGGAAAACGGAACGATTTTTGCTTCCCAACGTCTACTTGGAGATTATAATGTGTGAGCGGCGTATCCTGGACGGTACCACTTGTACAGGCTCTACAACACAAATACTCCAGCACGGGTCAATACGGGCGCTCAAACTGCCATAATATTGACACAGGCTGATGCGCAATGCTTCCTGCGACGTCACCTTGTGCTACTGAAGTTGTCAAGAAAGTTCTATCCTGTTGTACAACCGAGACGCGAACTACTCTCAAAGCAGAGGTTGGGCCTGGTTTCGGACTTTTTAGCTGTTCTAAACTTTTTCTCTGGCTTTCTGTTTTGTCGGCGTTTCTTTCGATGTCCTGGGATAATCATATAAGGCAAAGACGACAAATAGAAAGCCTAACAAATAATTATCGTCTAAAAAACCTTTTTTAAAGTCTGAAAACGGGCCTCTTCTTTGAGAGAAACGCGAACAAGGTTCATCTATGTATATATATGAATTCAGGCGCGTGTGCACGTGAGTTTTTAGCCTATCGCCCATTAGTTGAGTAATCTATAGACGGTAGCGCCTGATTGATGTAAGTGGTGTCAAATGCCACCTGTAACGACGGCTGTTATCTTAACTTTCTCCTTTGGATATTTACTTTGCCCAAACTTAAGCAAACATCAATCTCTGCGTCTTTACCACGCACAGCTGTGAAGCCTGGTGAACATTTTATGTTCGTCGCTTTCAGCAGAAATGTAGTGAACAGAATTACTGACGAGGAAACGTAATGGAAAAACGTTAAACGTAACTTTGATTATCGTATTCGCAAAGCACCAGTGTGCGCGGACTGAAACTGGACCGGTTCAGGGGCAATTTTTTTTTCTATTCTCATTTTATTTTTATTTTTCATTTCTTTCTGACTGGGTCCCAGGATTCGATTTCACAGCCCAACAGTTTGCCCAAGAAGATCTGCATAGAGATAAATTGTATTTTACGCAGAATGATCCTGTATGACACTGCGGAACGCGATTCGAAAAAAAATTCATACACAGTTTACTCCAAACGATGAAACCTAAGACGTGTTCACGCTTCACGCACATACAGTTCCAAACGAGCCCGTATGACATGCACACGCTTCATACACAGTTAGGATCAGTTAGCTCCAAACGTTGGCATGTACACCATGACGCACATGCAGTTCAAAACGGTCTAAAAGTTTCGGAAAGGTCATTTCTGTATGCATAGTTCTGCGCCGCTATGCATGACGGGGAGCTATAATTATGTTTTACTCTCAACCGGCACGTTTGACAAATAACAAACTATGTATACTGGCTAGACACTGCGCTTTGCCAATAAAGCAACACGCGGGGAAAGTCGCGGGATGGCTGTGTGTGTTTGTTTGTTTGTTTGTTTATTTGTTTGTGTGTGTGTGTGTGTGTGTGTGTGAGAGAGAGAGAGAGAGAGAGAGAGACAGACAGACAGACAGCCAGAGAGAAAGGAGAGAGAGAGGGAGAGAAAGAGAGTAAGGAGATGATGGAAGTAGGAGTAAGGAGAGCCGAGGATAGTTAGTCCCGTAGAAAGAGTGTGAAGTACTTTGTATTTGTTCACTACGTTCAGTCTCACGTAAACGACGCCAAACTCCCCCGCAGCCTTATTGTGGGAATTTTACCAACACAAACAACTTAATCACCCACCCTCCGCTTCGGTACGTCAGTTTCCCAGCCGCATGCGTCATGTGTATGCCACACGGTTACCATAGCTACTGTACGTTGCGTGCGGTTCCTATGGTTACCGGACGCGTTTGTTGTGGTACAGAGGAAATCCCTACGAGGAGCGAGCTGTTATCGTCTGTAGGAGGAACGTATCAATGTGGACTGGCCGGCAGAGGTTACATATATAGTGGAATAAAATTTAGCACTTAAGCTTAAGGGTTTATGTTATTGACATTTATAAGTAGTAGATATGTGCGATTCTATAATTTATTAGCAGTTAGTACATGTGCGATTCTGAGGGCTACATGCGCCATTCTCCATGTCATTAGCATTTAGTAGACGTGCGATTATCGATGCTACATACATATGTAGTACGTATGCAATTCTTTGTAGTACGTATGCAAAACATTTGGTATTTGTGCGGTTCTCTAACTTTTTAACACTCAATACATGTGCAAATCCCTACCCCACTAAGGGGGTTGTGTTGTGCGTAAACGGTAGCGTGTTCGGATCGGTACCAAGAGGTCCCGGGCTCGAATTCTAACATGTCACCGATCTTGGGCCCTTGGGAAAGGCACTTTGCACAACTTTCCTCACTTAACTTGGGAGAAAATGAGTACCTAGCTTCGGTTAGGGACCGTCCCTCGGATAGGACGTTAAATGAAGGTCCCTTGTTTCGGGAGAGCCACACCCCTCACAAGTTAAAGAACACTCCGCACTTACCGAAAAGAGTAGTGGACCTTCCCGGTGTGATTGCTTCAAAACCTAACACTAGTAACAGTCCGGTCTTACCATGGAGGTCTCTCTTCTACCTCCATGGTCTTACCGTTGTACTTACTGCACAAAACTGGTACACGTGTGTTACGCCTGAAGGCGACTTACCGGTTATGCGAAACGTATTGTATGTTGCTTTGCAATTAGCCTTCAGGCACACTAGTTTGCGATAATAATGCGATGATTTACCCCACCCCACTTAGGGGAATGCATTATCTGTCTGGGGGAATTAGTTCCTTGGAACAGCGTCGGGAGGCCACAAAAGATTGGTTTCAAGACTTGCGAGCTTTCTAGATTAACTCCAGATAATTGCCGTGAGAATGATACCCGTGTCCTGTTTCTATCCTGAAATTGATGTGTGAACAGTGCCTGTGTGCTGTTTGTGTCCTATTTCTGTCCAACATTCCTGCCCCTTTGTTAACTCTAATTATAGTTGGGTATTTTCCGTCGCCTTATCACTTCACCTTGACTGGCTACAGACGAGCATGATGCAACACCGCCGGACCAGGATGCACGCCGGGAGGGGTGGGGGGCTTGAGAATAGCCTTAACGGAGTGCGGGGACTGACTGGGTGGGTAGCTGAAGCTTAAGAATAGGCTTACCGGGCTGTAGTACACTATTTATAGCATGGTTAACAATATTTCTTGTTTTTGTTGGAGAAAGTTGCCGACGTATCCGTGTTAGTGTTTACTCCGTGGTGAATCGATATGTTCCCTGTCCGAGGCAGGAACAAGTGTCAGGTTACGGAGCACAGTGGAGATGTGTCCGGTTACACGCTATAGTATTTACACTGCGGCGGAGACTATCACGGTGTTGTACTGTCGGCGCTCGGTACGTTCCGATCTCACACCTGCACCCGAACCTTCCCTCTGACCGGGAAACCCAGAAGCCGGCATGCCGGAGGGGCGTTCCCGGCACACACAGCCGGCGCGACGCGCGCGGACTACTAATGCAGCTGTAAAATACGTTAGTGACCTGCATAATTGATCCGCACCACGACTACTACGAGCTGTCCTGATTCCTCCATATTTCCATTCGGAATTCACGGATGTCTGGTCGGCCCGGCCGCACGGTCCGTGACGCGGGAAGGGGCGGTTTGGCGGCAAAAACCTGGCGTGATACTTAATATATGTAGACAAAACACTGTTCCAATGTATTCGTCAATGTGGTGTGTACATAACGTCTAGTATTACCCCTACCGTGCGTGGAACACCGACATCATCCATTCATTTAAAGTCTCTACACAGTACATGTACAGACTTCCCATTCAATTGAAGATATCGGTTACATCTGATATACAACCATACGTACAAAATACACAATATGTACATGTACATACGTCAATTCTATTATAATATGTACACTACTATATATTCTAATACATACAGACTCGTTGTCTATTCATTGGGGGTTTGACCAAGAATGCCTGGTTGAGGGAATAACTGCCTTATGAGAGGAATGTCTGCCCCAGACTAGAAATGAAGTAGTAAATGAACGTATGAATGAATGAATGGATGGATGGGGTGCATAAATGAATGAATAAATGGATGACTTTATATATACGTTGGAAACGATTGAAGGTATATTTAAGTGTGACACAGAGGGGGCACCTGATTCATACTACTATGAATGAATAAACACAGGGATTAATGATATAAATGGATTCACGTTTTAGAATTAGGATAGAGGAAGGGACTATGCGGCTAGCCGGCCCAGATGAGAGGAATGAGGGAGTGAATGAGAGGCTTACCGGAGGTGTATCTTGCCGATATGACAGGTAGAAGCGCCAGGACCAGCGCCACGCTTGTTGCATGCGGCATCCTGTTTGGGAGTTGCCTGCTGTCTGTTTTGTTATAGAGTTGTTCGACACTTCTCTGTCCGGGGGCGCGTATTTCCGCCTGTGGGCTGTAGGTCAAAGTCGGAACAATTCTGAGAAATGTGACCGTCCCTTCGATCGGCAATGACTGGCTGTATTGGAGATAACTGGCTGTATCGGCAATACCAGGCTGGTATCGGAAATAACCGACTGTATCGGCGTCTCGGCAGTATCTGACAGCTCGGTCCCGGGAAGCTAACGTTGTCTCTCCGGTGATGATGTACCCATACCCGTACACAGCGCGATCAGTGACACTCCAGGTGAGAGCGGCAGGTGGACCGGTGCGATATTCCCGAGTCACGATGAGAAGGAAATGCGGCGGGCGAGTCACGATGACCAGTCTACAGTAGCGCGTCCACGTGTACACAATAGGCGGGGTGCGCCGCCGGGTTGCCTTTAAATTCCTCTTTAATTCACCGGTCAATACTGCGCGCTGTCAGTACGCATGCGTGGGCCCGGCCGGCACGTGAATGATGCAATCGTCAGTCTGGCACCTGTGGTCGCGGCAGGGCCGGAGTAATGTCCTGTTTCACGTCACTGTTTCACATCAAAGCTAAATACAACACAACTAAACGTTACCAGGCTGCAGGTCCGGAGTAATGTCCTGTTTCACGTCACTGTTTCACATCAAAGCTAAATACAACACAACTAAACGTTACCAGGCTGCAGGTCCGGAGTAATATCCTGTTTCACGTCACAGTTTCACATCAAAGCTAAACACAACTAAACGTTACCAGGACCTGCAGATCCGGCCGGAGTAATATCCTGTTAAACGCCACAGTTTCACTTCAAAACTAAATACATGTACAACACATAGATCTAAACGTTACCAGGGTGCGCGCGACAGGACCGGAGTAATGTTCTGTTTCACGTCACTGTTTCATTTCAAAACTAAAAAACGCACCAAAGCGTTACCAGGCGTAACAGGATCCGAGTAAAATTCTGTTTAACGTCACAGTTTAACGTCAAGCTACATGCATGTAAAACAAAACGTTACCAGGGCGCAGCGGGGCCTGAGTAATAATTTGTTTCACGTCACTATTGCAATTCAGAACTAGATAAGACAAAACATCACAAAGTGGACAGGGCTAGTGTAATATGCATACTATGCATATGTAGTATGTTGTGTCATGCGATATAGGAAGTATAGCGGCGCTGACGTCATCAGCAACCCTTCGGGAAGAGTCTCAAGTCCTAGAAGAGCTCTGACCTCGGTTCACAAAGGATCCTGTAGTAGGAGTCAAGAAGAAGAATAAATTTATAATAAAAACATTGAAAATAACATTCAGATTAGACGTAAAATCTAGTCCAGTTACATCCTCGTAACATGTGACAAAGTTAAAAATAGATAAATAAAAGGATATCTCAATGTTACCAGGAAATTTAAACAGAAAGTGTCCACACAGTTTCTACCAGACTCCTTGCTGGAAAAAATTCAAATTGCCTAAATAGGCAGACTTGCCAGAAAAGAAAATACAACTTTGCAAATATACGTTACTCCTTACAAATATGTGTAACTTTTTTTTGGGGGGGGGGCTAATTCCTCTGACAAATTATCCCGGCTACTTGTTCAATGTCTACTGTTTCTCCAGATGCCAAGGTGTCTAGAAGAGAATAGTCTCCACAGTTCATGCACTTTTTGGTCAAACGGTCGACTATCACAGGGCGCTCTTACAATGTGCCTTGAATATCAGGTTTATTTTCTTTTCTATTCTTTTAACATCATAGAAGTATTCTAAAAGAATTGTTTTCGATATCGTTCACCCGAAGAATGAAAGTACGCATAAAACCTTGCAAAAGTGACTAATAGATAAGTTGCCATAAAATACGCAGATAGATACATGGATGTTTAGCCCACCGAAGTGCTAATCAGCACGGAAAATTGCCCACTCCCCACAGGCACACACAAATTACCAGCACGGAGTACAGAATCTACATGCATCCCACGTGTCAGCTCTGTCGAGACCAGGCCAGATTTAACAGCAGGGCTGGCTCAGAACTAATCAGCGAATAGCGTCAGGACCGGGGCCAGAACAGCGGCCATATTCATCGTTATTAATCATCAAGGCATTGTGGTTCTCCCAGCGGTTCATTACCTTCACCAAAAAGGTTATGTGTTTGGTGACGTTTGTGGGTGTGCCTGTGGGGTCAGTCTGTGGGTCTGTGGAAAGTATAACTCGAAAATTTGTGAAGTTGCATAGATCCGTTTGATATTTGGTATGTACTATGTGGGTTCTTGTCGGCAGGTTTGATTGTGGACCTCCCAGCCTGGTGGCTTTCTATGGTACTGCAACGGAAATTCAGGTTTTGATATCTCTTGTTCTAGGCAAATTATGGCCAGGATGTTTGATGTTAGATGGCTCTTGGACTTCTTGGCTTTTGTATGTAGATATCTTAAGTGATCATAATGATTGACATATATGGCATGCTACTTATACAAATTAACTTAGGCGATATTTTTCATGATCAAGAAGGAAATTACATATATCCGGTGCATAGTGTTCAAACATGTGAGACATACAGCTATTTCATTTCAGACTTGTTATGCTTTCGTTTTTGTTGTGATAAAAATATTATGGAAAGATAAAAGTTTCTGGATCCTATGTATGGAAAGCCTTGAGCAAGTTGCCAGTAGTTAATGGGTCGTGTCATATACCATTGATGTTGGGCTGTAATATATATTACTGTTACATTACTGCATTTCACTTGTCTCTTCACAAACGACCCTTCCCAGAAATCCGGCTGGGAGAATGGTAACTGACAGGGGGGAGAATGGAGGGAATGGCCCGTTAACCTGAGTGGTGGGAAGGTAAAAGGGCGCGCTAACCAGCCTGTTAACCTTACGTCAGCAGCCAGCAGGGGGGAACACAAGGTCATGACCTCTGATGACGTAGGTTGTTTCAGGTCTGTGACCCCAGAACCCCAGGGCTGACCCCGGTCGTCTGTAACAGTTACGAGAAGCTTAATTGACTCGACCAAAAGTATAGCTACTTACATGTACGTATGGTCAAGTACCAACTATGATCAACTAACAAAACAGAAACAGAAATACAAAATTATACTCATCAAAAGGTAGGAGCTAACAAAAGGAAATCTGTGATAGCCTATTACAATAAGGCAGGGCTAATCATGGGTTCCAGTATCTTTTCTAAACAGTTTTGTATGTATTAACTACGTTTTGCATTGTGGAAGTTGTCACATCGAAAGCTAGATTCAAATCTGCTAAGTTGTATCGAGTCTCTTGAAATCAATTATCTGTATGCATGTGTAGCGAGGGTGGGATCGTCTGCGAGGGTTGGGGGATCGGTTATAACGGTTATTTAGGTTGAAGGATATTTGTAGCGGTGGCTGTTAGGGGTTACCGGTGGATGTTTTCATTGTGCGAAGTATTCCCGCGTGCCAAACAGGTGGTTAAGACTAGGGAGTAACGCATGACGCAGTACCTTACTTCTTACACGAGTGTCCGTAAATACGTCACTGACGTGATAGACTGATACATGCGGCTCCGACACAAACACTTCTGGAACCGAAGACGTACCGAAAAGATGCATTTGATTACGGCTCACCTGCTGCACACACTATAATGACGAAGTGAAACGGCAACTTATCCTGACGATGTTGGAATCGTCTTAGCTTGGGCAGATCTCAAGGCGTCTTCCGTTGACCTGAACCGTCCTCTGTAGAAGTAAAAGTGTCTTCTTTTAAAATCCAAGCTAGCTTTCTTTAACGACCAGCTTTTGAGAACATGCCACAACGGATCACGTGACAGCACGAGACGATCACGAGACGACCTAGCGACATCTTTGCTGGACTCGCGTGACAGTCGGGAAAAACTTGTTTGGTTTGTTCAATGAGGTGACACAAATAGACCATTTTGTGAAAACTCTTCAACTCAATCTACATAACTTGATGCACGCGTTTTACGTCGTTTAGTGTAAGAGAACTTCAGCTTCAGTCGGGCGGTCATTAGGTCCACGGAACCAGAAACGTGCCTAACTAGTCCTATTCCTGAATGGATTTGGGTTCTCGATAATCTCCGCGCCGCGTGTTCAAAGAACATAGATTTTGCTCTAGGCACGGTCTGGACTATCAGGCGTTTTAGGGCCCTGGGTTTCTTATCGGTGGTCACTGTAACCAAGATCACAAGCTCCTTGCTGTGACGATGCGATTACGACTGTCCATCTGAAATGGCAGTTCAAACAATATCACAGTGGCTGCACGTCTCACACTATGAGCTTTTCAAGGTTTTTGTATTTCGTTTCAGGATGTGATGGAGGTGGGCGAGGTCATGGGATTAAACTAATAATAACAAGAAGCCATAGGCGACAATTCTCCGTGAAGTATTATATATTGCAACAAAAAGAAGTAGCCATTGGCGACAATTCTCTGTGAAGTGTGATAAATCGAACAAAGAAAAATTGTTTAAACGCGCGTCGGCTCAGTCATCTTAAGACGCAACAACCAATCAGAGATGCGAGATGCCTACACGTGACGCGGGAAGGGCGCGCGATGCCCGAAATATTTTTGCGTCAATATTCAGCGCCGTGATTCAAGAGATTAATACCCGGAAACAATTTTTTTTCTTGTTTTGAACGCATTAACATGCAGTTACGCTAATCTAGTATGATTCAGGGTTACTTTTTTTTTAACCTGCCATGGCCAGATTATCTAAAGATGTGTGTATTGTGTGTACAAGCTATAGAAAGAGAAATGTACATCAGGTCCGATCATCCGATTTTCACGTTTCGGTTTTTTGGACTCGGTTCATGAACGTATTTTGGTTTGGCTCCTGGAATGTGCAAAAAAAATGACTCCCGGGACTGTCTACAGGGAACACTCGCACATTCGCGGTGTATCAGGACAGCGCGACTGGTCGTCATTAGCGCAGTAACAGTTAGCATAAACGGACGAAACCATTTCAAAGAAATGGGGATGTTTCGAAAATAAGCATTTACTCCAATATCAAAACAGCTACGGTAAAAATAAAAAGACGTGCATCATCCCGGACATAATGCAACACCACATGCGAAATTACACAGAAATGCGACGTACGGAAGAATGCGTTTTGGCTGCGAACATCTTCCAAAAAACTTGGCATCTCTTAACCATGGGCAAAAACATCTGGAACCACTTATAAAAACCACCCCGTATCTGCATGAACTTTTTTGAACCCCACTGCTATTCCAAACAACGCGTTTTTCTGGACCATTCCAATTCGCCTCGTAATTGTAGGGGTGCGTCTGCGATATTACATTGACCGCGAAAGCAGCAACGGCAAAAATACACATTCGTGCATCAACACGGGCATGCCCGCAGACGGCGTATAAAATTGCGTGCCGATTACACAAAGAGAACCCAGTGTTTTGACTGCGAACATGAAAAATCAGCCGATTACAACACTCCGTCCGGAGGTCCTGACCTCCTTCACGGAGTAAAAAGGGACATATTATTATAAAAATGCAGAGGTAATCCATTTATTTCCTATATTTACATTTGACACCAGTATATATAAATAAATAGCTTTGGCAGTAGGTCTGGAATACACATAGTTGACTAAATGCAAATTACTTTGCTGTCACCCATTATCCTTTTTCACAACTTTTGCTTCATAATGCCGCATAGTTCCCTTGAAGTCTAACTTCAGAACCCTGCACAGTTGCCCTGAATTCGAAGTCTAGCTCCAGAACCCTGCACAGTTCCCCTGAAGTCTAGCTCTAGAACCCTGCACAGTTCCCCTGAAGTCTAGATCCAGAACCCTGCACAGTTCCCCTGAAGTCAAGCTACAGAACCTGTCCAGTTCCCCTGAAATATAGGTCCTGAACCCTGCACAGTTCCCCTGACCTCTAGCTAGTAGTCAGAACTATTCACACGCATGAAGTCTAGCTCCAGAGCGCTGCATAGTTTCCCCACAGACCAGCTGGAAGAGGCCCCCCTGCAGCAAACAGTCGGATGCCTGCATCATCATACAGATGAGCGTACACTGCGTTGGGAAAATGGTCCTGGTCAGAGAAGAACTCACGGTACATTTCGTCATGTTTCTGTAAAAACGAAAGGAATTGAGTTTAGACAAAAGCTTACAGGTACCAGTCAGCACATCTCTAATAGAATTGTGCAAACTTCACACTAATGGAGATTCTAAATAAACAACAAACAAACAACAGCAACAACAAACAACTTCACTGTAACAAACAAGCAGCATCCACTTTGTTGTTTGTTTGTTGGTACGTACCAGCCAGCCCTCCCCTGAGCGGAGTCTCAGAGTCATTCCACAGTTGCAGTCCAGGAACCTCCGTGCTCGAACGTCGTAGAACAGCAGCGACCCTGCGCCGGTTCCCATGGTTACCACATCCGCTCGGAAGGAGCTGGACCGCACACCTGCAGATCAAGCAACTTCTGTTAGCAGGCTGTAAACAAAAGAAACTTTCTTCCTGATGTTACACTTATTGAGTTCCAAATTTGAACCCCATGCAAGAATGGACATGTCACCTGTACCTACCCCAGTATACTAGTATATGTATTGATAATTTCTGTGATCCTGAAGCTCTGACCTGTTCCTTTGTCCTTTGATGGCACGTTAAGAACATGTTTCATCGTCATGGCATCCAGGAACGACATGTGGGACTGCGACCCCACTGCAAGCAGCCCTTTCTCAAGGTCAAGGGTCAAGCTAGTGTTCTCTCTTTCGTACGGAGCCTCGGCACTGAAAACCTGGAGTGTGAAGAAACAAACAACTGATGAATGAATGATCAAATGAATGAATCTATGACAAAATGAATTAACCTTATGATGAACAAATGAATGAATGAATCAAATTTTACTATTGCGCTATTGAGAAAACTCACTCAATATCCAGGCTAAGACAAATGCTCATGTAGTATGATGTCAGAGAGACACATACACATGTAAGCTGATACGTGTAATTCTAAGTAAGATTTTTTCACCTCTTTCATGCCATTGATATTCCAAACATTGATGTAGCCATTTGAAGTGAGTCCCACCAGCTCCTGAATAAAGACAAAAAAGGGTCAAGCCAAGAGCAATAAAACAAAACACAATCCAGTACACACCTTTAGAATATCATGTTCAAGCTTTCAGTAGGATAATGAAAGAAAAACAACCCATATCATTGTATAAGAACATCACTATGCAGTCACATGGTTACCATACTAGAATATCAGACTCACAGACCATCCGCCTTCCTAAACCTCGAACAAATGCACAGAAAAGAAGATTTTTGTATAGAATGTCCAGTGCCTGGAATGAAATGAAGTGGTGATGATGTACATGTATATAGCTTTATTTTAATCTGTTTTAATATGTTGTAATTGCCATGTATTTATGTTTTGTAAATATGTCATGTGTGTCTTGAAGGACCACAGGAAGAATAGCTACATTTGTTGTAAGCTAAATGTGGATCCCAATAAAGTCAAAGCTAAACTCAAAGCACGCACCTGTTCTAAAACCTTTGTTTCACACAACAATCATAACCCTCTGGGTTCTATGCAGAAAAAAGGGCTGCAAAGACTGAGTGCACAAAGTGTTAAAACTTCCAGGGTTCAAAGAAAAAAAGCAGTCACTGTGATACATACAAGTGTCCCAGTAGTGAAGTATGAACCCACCTCAGATCTCGTGTTGAACACCACAGCCCTCAACCTCTCACCCAGACTGCATGACTTCTTTAGGACAGGATGAATGGCAGTATAGGTGGGGAGAGTAACATCACTGTCCTCAGCAGAATGTCCACATGGCTGTTGAGTACAGCTGCTTGCAGTTGCCTGGCTATGGGGCTGTTCCCTTTCCAAAGGCTCTTCCAACTGTGAGCTGTCCTCAATCTTCCAGATAGCCACAGAGCTGTCTCTGGAACCTGAAACAGCAAAACAGTATCTTCTGTTGCTTATGCACAGAAAACAGGACAGCAAAGATAATCTGAGTCTGTGCACAGCAAACAGGACAACAAAACATCTGCTATTACCTGTGCACAGCAAACAGGACAGCAAATAAATCTGCTGCTAAGATGTTATAGAAAGCATTTATTTATATTGTTTTTTGCTCACGTTTCTTCTCCTCCTCCTCCTGCCATTTCTTTAAATTGATTAAACTCCTTCATTTTGGGGTCAAATACCATGAAATTTGGCATGAAGGTAGAATGGGCAAATACCCCCAGGCTTTTTTTTTCATTTTTGTGATACAAGCTTTTAGAATATGGTTTTATTTGAGCTTTTTGGCTGTGTTGTAGAAAATGTACTATAACAGTGTGTTACCATATTTGGGCATGAGTCATCAGAATGGCATGTAGAGCAGGCAACCCATAGGCATGCAGCTTCCCTCTATTCTCCTTGCTGATTGGCTGTTCGGATCTGATTGGCTTACTCAATTAAAGCCATGCCATATTGACAGTATAAACTTTATTCAAGTGTTTTGGTAAGTATGTCAAGCTTTCCTGCTCCAGCATTGGAATGCGGGGCATAAACGCTTCTTTTTATCTTGAAAATCAACAGTTTGCATTATGAAATTAAAAATCCCAACCAATAATGTAAGGGATAGCTATCCAACTGTTGTCACTTCATACTATAGTTATATCAATGTGAAGAATTGTTTTCCCTTGTATTTCTCCTTCTTTCCCTGCCAAGTCGTGAAATGTGGTGAAGTCATGCTGAATTTGCTCCAAAGCAAATGTCGGCCTTTCTAGTTGATATATTGTGTTCAATGACTCACAAAAAAGTTGGGCAACATCCAGAAATGGTAGGCGCTAACGCACTAATGCACTAACACTTAGTGTTTAACTTCGTTGATGCTGTCTTCTGTAGAATTTGTACATGCATCATGATTTTGTATCAAACCTTGTAAATCATACATTACAGCACAAATCAGGCTGATTGTCTGCAATATGCTGATAAGCTACTTCCTACTCTGAAGGCCAGAGCGATACTACTAGTATTTGACTGTTACCATGGCAACTAGACTGACCTGTGACCAGAAACTCATCGTCCAACCACACTATGGAGAAAATCCAGTCAGTGTGGCAGCCCTGGGGAGGAAAGGGAACAGAATGATGTAAGCTATCTATCTATGGCCATGGGTAGATGCATAGTCTAGAGATGAGCAGTTACTAATTGTATCTACCCTCAAAATATCTCAGAGTCCTCTATTGTTTATGGACCCCAAAATCAATATACCTCCCCTAGTGTTTCTGAACCCCACTAACCCACATACTGTACACATTGTCCCCGGGTGTGTAAAAACCCCACTAGCCCACATACCTCCCCTAATGAACTCCTCAACCCCACATACCTCCCAATGCTCCCATGATGTTCATAAACCCCACTAACCCGCATACAGTACCTTCCTAGTGTTAATGAACCCCACTAACCCATGTGTAACCCCCCTACCTGGCCTATGTGCTGTGGGTCAAAGCTGGGTAGTCTGTATATAGCCAGGCTGTGAGGAGCCTCCCCACCCGTAGCCAGCAGGGTGCCAGAGGGGTTGATGGCGACACTGTGGATGCCGCAGTGTGCGGTGCTCCCCATGAGGGGAGAAAATTCATTCTCCTGAATCTGCAGGGTGGGGATGAACACTTGCTTGCCTGTCTTTAGGTCCAGAACAAACAACTGAAAATGGAAAAAAATTATTTTGTACTTGTCTTAAGTTAAATACTAATAGAGGCATTAGCTGCATCCACTAATGATGTGGCAGGGGAGCAAGTGCCATGGTGTAGTATTCCCATGGAGGCCATGTGCACCACATACACAAAATACAAGTGGCAAAGGTTCATCCCAGCTATACATAAGTCTCTGCTATTGTGTCAAAGGAAGTTTGCCTGGGGCATTTGAAGATTGGCTGGACTACTGTGGCAAATTCAGAACAAGAGAGTTAAGCATTGTTGCTGCACACTTCATTGCACAGCTGCAGCACATATCAAATTGGGTTACACAATATTGTTGCCCATACTAACCTTATTGCACTTGGTTGCACACACCACTTGGTTTGCAGACAGCCATTGTGCAGCAAAGACTTTGTTCAGCATCCCCAAGTGGTACTCCCTCTCCTCAAACAGAAGGGGCATTTTTCTGGAGGAGTAGTTCATGAGGGTTTTGCTAGGGGGAGCTTCATACCCATACTGTCTTCTGTGTATGTACTCGAACACTGACATGGTCTTGTGCTTCTTCCTTCAGGTGTGGTGAAATAGAGACATGTTCTAACATGCAGGCATTTCTTCCTTTACATTATGAAATACTGACATCCACAGTAGGCCACAGAATGATACGGGAACATCTGTGAGTGTGATTTAAAAAGATTTGAGTATGCATCATCAGTCGATTCACTGCTACAACTGAACACAGGTTCATAATATATATATAAACGTTACATGTAACATATGATCAATTGCAACATGACGAGAAGTACCGGACCAGCCTATCAAATATGAAACACTAAGGTGTTTCATATGATACATGATACCAAAAGATACGACAAATGGAATACAATTTCAAATGCAACGTAGTTTGGGTGGATGGTATGAGGGAGGGGCAGAAGGAGATGTAACGACTAAACAAATTATGGTCACCGTGGTGCAAAGGTGATAGTGAAAATATGATGTTAGCTACACGGCTGCTGAGAAAAACGTTGTAAGGTCTTACCTGTATTCATATGAAGGCTTTCTCTCCACTTATTAAATTTGAGACAAAGGTTCTTCTGTTCTGAGTCTGAGTCTCTAACGCGAAAAATAACCCTGCGTTCTCTCGGTGAGACAGGAGTCATTTTGCATTTGGACCTACCTTTTGGCCTTTCAGTTCACGTTGAGTTGTTCATCAGAGGTAATACTATCATGTACTGTGGTGATCAGGGTGGGGTTCCCTCGGTGTACGGTACGAATGTGATGTTTACAGGCAGCTTGAGCAGCTGTTGTTGTGTTGTTGTTGGCCTGGGCCCTCCCTTCCGGTCGCGCGGTCTTTTCAAATCCACTGCGCAGGTTCGAGAATTCCATCAGCCAATCAGAATTAAACATTTTTCGAGTGACCAATCACGACACTGCGGTATCAGCCAATCAGAGTATGATCGAATACTAACAAAACTACACAATGCTAACATCACTTTCCTCTTTTCCAAAATGATTGATTGCCACCACTTGAAATGATTGCAATGTTGGCACCAAAGGTGTTTTACCTTCGTTTCCACTGTTTAAATATTTATTTGAAATGGATGATTGGTTTTCTCACTTTCTCCATAACTCAGGAAAGTCTTGACCTGTCAAAGACAATTAGATTTTGGACCCCAGCGGCTTTCCTTGGTACTGCAGCAGAGCTCCTTTCTGGACATTGAGTTGCAGTGGCAGACAGCTCTTGGCTAATATGGAGAATTGGTGTAGGCTAGGTTATATAAACTCCTTGGTGTAGGTTTGGGTCCATAGCAGCTTTTTTAAAAACTGCAGCGACTACTAGTAATTTTGTTTGCAACTTTGGGAGGACTCCAGAAGGGGTTATGGTGAAGTCATTTTTTTTAGTTGTTGTATGGACTTAGATCTCCCTTCTTTAATACTCCATGGTTGCTGTTGTTATGTAGGTATCAACAATTAAGTGATGATTGAAATAAACAGATGGTTATTATGCAAATCAGGACACAATTTGCTTAATTCTGTGAAGTAGCTAACGTTAAATTTCAAAATAGGATTTTCAAACATGTGACACATAATTGAAAAATTGAGAATCAATAGATTACCAATCAATAGTAAATCAATAGATACCTTCTGAGAGAGCTTCAGACGCTTCAGACAAACTTTTGGAATAACATGAGCAGCACAAATATTCCATCATCAGAAGTGTTACATTTATTGGCAAACCAGGAGAGCAATTCTGGGCAAAGTAGAGCCAAATGTTACATAAATACATATCATATAACTTTGTTATATATTACTATCAATATCATACATACATACATATAACATTATATATATAGTCAGTAAATATAACAGACTGGGACATATTACTGCACAAAAAGAAAAGTACTGGCAAACGAAAAGTACTGGAGTTCACAAAAAGCATTTAGCAGTTCAAAATGTTCAATTTCCAGATAAAACCAAGCAGTATAACCAAATGATATAATGTTATCACTGGTACACTCAAGTATAACACTTCTGCATGAGATTTGTTTGTGACTGACTAAGGGACTTACATCATGCTCCAGAACGTGGTGCCGTGGTGTACATAGTTAGCACACTCACAATTGTCCTTTACTACATGTCACTACGTTGTGCACTTACTAGGTAGTGCACTTGTAGATGTTACTAGATTGGATACTGCTACATGATACTTGGTTAGGCTCTTGTACGTTATTAGGTTGGGTACTGGTATAGGTTACTTGGACACTGGTACATGTTACTAGCTTGGACACGGGTACAAGTTATTAGTTTGGGCACTGGAGTATGTTACTTTTTTGGACTCTGGTAATGTTATATGTTACTAGGTTGGGCACTGGTACATGTTACTAGCTTGGACTCTGGTACATGTTACTAGGTCGGGCACTGGTTGGTACATGTTACTAGGTTGGACACTGGTACATGTTGGTTGGGCACTAGTTCATGTTACTAGTTTGGACTCTGGTACATGTTACTAGGTTGGGCACTGGTACATGTTATTAGGTTGGGCACTGGTAACGTTACATGTTACTGGGTTGGGCACTGGTTGGTACATGTTACTAGGTTGGACACTGGTAACCTTACATGTTGGTTGGGCACTGGTACATGTTACTAGGTTGGACACTGGTTGGTACATGTTACTAGATTGAACACTGGTACATGTACAGTACTTAGTTGTATTCTGGTTCATATATTTACTAAATTGTATTTTGGTTCATGTTACTAAGTTCCACTCTGATACATGTTACTAGGTTGGACACCATTTCCTGTTGGATACTGGTACATGTTACTGCTTTAAACACTGGTTCGAGTTTCTTGGCTCAAACTGTGCACTGGAACATGTAAGTGCATTTTCTTGTGACTTAAAGACTCCTTAGTGAATTACTCTGTCTTCCCCATTGGCACTTGGTTCTTGTCTTGAGTCTGGCTACATGACATGGGGCCATGGCAAGACATTTGGGAAGACTCATGGCAAGATGTCTTGTGGCAGGCCAGGGTCTCCTTGCTTGCCTTGGGTTTGTCTGGGATGGACCAGGAGAGCGGAGTCAGACCCAGCAGCATGATGTGGCGATCGTACGCCTTGTTGTGGCGGAACTGCTCATCTGTTCCATGGAGACGGTCCAGAACCCCCATCACACCATAGCACTGGTTAAACCTGAGGAACAACATCACACCATAGCACTGGTTAAACCTGTGGAACAACATCACACTGTAGCACTGGTTAAACCTGTGGAACAACATCACGCCATAGCACTGTGTTTGCTTTTACACAAGTTTGACAGTACTGGAAATAACCAAACCTACTTGGCATGGTGGAAGTCATGTGCCTCTGGGGATGGCAGCAGGGGGAAGTGGTAGCCGCTGTGTGAAATGGACGTGGTGGTGAGAGCCAGGCAGAACCACAGCCAGACGGTCGCCACATGGGACCCCATCAGGATAGGACCTAGAACCAAGTACATGTACAACAAACAGGGTACAGCAAAAAGGCATAAAAGTATGATACAGCAAACTGGCTACATGAAAAGGAGCAACAAACAGTACAGCAAAATGTAGCACTCAGGTGAGCAAAGGCTTAGGTCAGTACAGGTGAGGATGTGGTGAGAAAGGTCTATGATCTGTTCTTACCTGCAGCTACAGGAAGTAGGTTGGACAGGATGTGCTCTACAGGATGGGAGTACACAGCCACAATCCCAATGGGCGCCGTCCACTCATGGTGCTTCTTGTGAATTCTCTTGTACAGAGCAGGCTGGTGCAGCAGCCTGGGGGACCAACATGTCACAGGTTTAATCATATTCAGTACATACATGTATTTACCAGTTGGTGAGGAGCAGCTGGATTGATCTGTAAAAGTGTATGGTAGGAGGTAGATGTTACCTTTAAGTTGAATGAGAAGTAGGCCTGACCTGTGACCAGTATAGTAAGAAGTGGATGCTACCTGTTTGTCAAGAGTGGACTTCTAAGGGAGTGTAAGTAGTAGAGTGGGAGGAGGATGGCATCTAAAATGAGGTGTGAGTCTGACCTGTGAGAATAGTAGAACATGACTTCCTCCACCAGCACAAAGACAATCAGCTCCACCACGACCCAGTGAAACCATGGGAGCTCCCGCCCACAAGGCATTCCACGCCAGTGGAAGATGGGCGGTGCAGCAAGGAAGACAAGTGGGCCAGTCACAATAAACTGGTTAAACAGAACCAACTTAATGGTTTTCCACAGCCTTACAGGGTCCACCTGCAAAGAAAATACCTTTATGTAATTTGGATTTTACTAAAACTTCTCACATGCAAAGTGGACAAGACGGTGGAAACTATCACCTTACTGTCACTATAGAAAAGCCAGTGAAATAAACTAAAACAGCTCACCGGAACATTCTTTTCCTCCTGTATTTTGTATCTGAGCAGGGCGGCAGGTTGGCCAGTCACATCCACCACCAGAAGGGAACCATTTACTAACCAGAACACCAACGAAGGAACCAACAATGTACCTGCAACAGAAGAAACAACCTCTTAATCAGAACCTAACAATTAACCCAACTAATAACAGTAACCTGTTAACCTTAAACCTTAACCTGAAAGCAGAAAAACAACTTTTTTTCTGAATCTTTTTTGTGCTAGGCCTGACTCTATATATACTATGCACTCTGGGTATCCATGGATCATTCACCTGAGATGTGTAACTGGCTACTTCCACTCACCAAGAGTTCCCAGCAAATGTTCATCTTCACCAAACAAGTCATACACCAGACCCCACTGGTGCTGCCAGAAGCTGTCAGATGCCTTCCACAGCCCCTGCACATGCCTGTAAAACAAACATGTAACGCGTTATACTTAATTAGATCTGCACCTTCCACAACCCTATACATCATGCCTGTAAAACAAAGACATGTTAGATCTGCACCATCCACAGATTTTGCGGGTACATGTAATTTCCAGGCTTACAAGGTGGTGCTAGATTTATCACCTTATCATGTGTGGTTGCCATGGTTACCAGGTCGTTGTCTGTAGTAGCTAGAGTTACCTGGTAACACTTTATTGTGTGTGGTTGTCAATTTTGGTTAGCAGTTGATAGTGTGGTTGCCATGGTTACCAGGTGATTGTGTGTGGTCAGCATAGCTACCAGGTGAGTGTGCAGTTGCCATGCTTACCAGGTGATAGTGTTCCTTGCTGCCACCAGACACAGCAATGCTGACCCCAACACAAATACACACTTCTTCAGTGAACCGAGAACAGATCCCCCATCCTTGGGCACCTGAGCGACATCAAAGACAGAAATTAGAACTTTTCTTTTTCATTATATGATTATCATTACAATTTTAAATGTGTATTAACATTTTGACAGTAACAAACATCACTACAGAAAGTCTTGGGGGAAGTTCTTGTCAAAGTTTTAATGCCTACATGTAACGTTACATGTACAAATGTATGTGAAATTAGATTCCTACTCCTAGGCGTGCAAAATTTTTCTTTAACCTACCAGCAGTTGAAATTTCAGGTTGTACAAATTACTTCTAATTCTAGGCTGTTTCATAGGCGTGATGTCGCTACTGAGTAACTAATAGAAACTGTTATATCTTACGTTCTATTTTCAAATCTCCTCCCTGCTTTGTTTTCTAATGGTATTTTTTTTATACAATACTAAGCAATACCCCTCGCGGGGTCTAATGCTTAGGGAAGTGGTCGTTCCCCAGCGTGACCGGTGGTGGTGGTGGCGGTGGTATGGCCCACAAATTATGTCACGTTCTTTAATTTGTATCCAGACTCTAGTTTCGAGATCTAGATTTAACAGTCATTTCACAATTCACGTTGAAAGTCTACGCTAAGGGAATCTTAAGCTCACAATTTTGAAACGTGTGATATGCACGGGCACAATATACACACTATATATTGCATATTGATCAGTAACTGATCGATCTCTCTATACAAACCTGCTCTCGCCGAGTTTCCTCCGGCTTGGTCTGCATTCTCGGTGCAAGATGGCTGCTATCAAGCGGCAGAGAAGGGCTCCACCGTCACGGTACAGTCACGCGCCCGTGCGCCTGATTTCCCGAAGAAGATTAGTGATGTTAATGACGATCACGCGCCTGCAGAATTTGTTGTTGTGGCGGCCCGTCAGCTTTGTTGTTGTATTTCTCCCTGCGTAGGCTGGTGACCTTTCTGGTGACCTTTACGTCATCCCTGGCTAACGTAATAAACATGATGAAACAATTCAATACGCACGTTGTTTAACTGTCATAAAGGCAGTAGTAGTGCAAACAGTTTTGTTTAAAATCTCAAAGATGTTATTTTAAGACACTATTGAAGAGTTTAGGCGAAAAATGGCGATGAATCCGACGATTGTTATTAACGTTTGTGTGCGTTAGCGGTCTGTTCCATTTGAGTTACAGGGGAGATAACCAGGTTATGCTACATTCGCACACACTCGGGCATCTCAGGCATCTTTATATTAGTGAGTGCACAGGATTTTTAACGTCCTCGTGATTAACCCGAAGATTGCATCGCAATATTGGGCCCCATAAGCCCCAGAGGAAGTACCACCCATGTAGAAATTTACATTCATTTAGATACAAGTACTCAGTGTCTTTCTTCAGTTCTCCCCTGGATCGCCAGGGGGCGTTTTTACTGCAGTATCTCAACTGCCTTACTGCTGCAGCAGCTTCGTGAGCAAAGCCATCAAAGCTGTTGTTTAATAGGGCTTCATGGGTTGTTTTAGCAGAGAGCGATTTGCTCTAACTTGAAGTCCGACGTTGTGCCGTTAATGATTTCGTAGTGGCATGGAGGGTGCGATTTTTTACCTCCACGGTAGTGGCCTCGTTCCATTAATAGTTCTTCCATGGTTCTTCTAACAGCATCTAAAGACTTTGTTCCTTACTATCTGTCTCCAGTATCAGATGTAGACATCTCAACCGTGTGAAGTGAGCGCGGGGCCAATTGGATTACTTCCTTCTGAACCAACCACCGTTACTTCAGATTGCGGGTTTGCCCCAGTTTTGCCACGTTCATAAATCACAGGAGCTCCGGAGATAAAATACCTGGATCAAACATACCAGTACAGGCTATAAATCAATAACTTGGTTGGTTCTATTTCATGTCATAGATTAAACGGAGATAGTTCATGTTAGAAAAGTTCAATTGGTATCAACATGTACGTGGATTGCAATTTAATCTCATTTTAAAAATCAGAGATTTCAGCCTTCCGGGAAGTGTTAAGAATTTCCGTGAATGTATTTGAAGTACTGTAGAGGGGATTGCATGATCTAGTGTCATACCACTGAATTCCCACACCGCCTTTTGAGCTCCTGTCATGTAGCCTACCATTCTCCCGTTATGCCGCCTGATGCAATATTTGGAGCCCAAACACTGACAAACTCCCCCTTAACCGGTACCAGCGCCACCCAAAACTAGTACTACTCTATTTTACCTTGAGTTGATGAACGGAGACATTTGTCCTCTGCTGGAGTGGCCCGTTGGGGACGGAAAATGTCGTAAACTCATGACTGTGCCATTCATCTAAATATCACGCAGTGGATTGGAGCTTTTCCAAGACGCAACAACTTGAGTCTCTCACGATCTCTTGCGAAAACGTTTAATATAAATGCGATTGATGTTGGCAATTCCTTGATCTGATGCCTGTGTGGGCCATTTGCCAAACTATCTAGATGTGTGCTGTGAGTACCAAAGAACTAGGACGATATCCCCCAAAATGGTGTAGATGCCTGAAATATACATCAGAAGTAGAAGTAACAGACTGCGTAGGAGCTATTTATGCAGACATCAGCGCTGCAACTGAGAATATTTCTCAGCGAAAGCCAGACTTCCTCCGGGCACGTCTCACACAAAATACGCCTCCACCCCCACCCCCACACACACCTCACACAAACGCGCGCCTTCATCCCAAAAATACACCTACGTCGATATCATGCCAAAAACACTTATTCATCCCAAAATATTTGTTCCCTATTCCGTGAAAGATAAATCTCTTTCGCTCAGTAAATCGTATCCGTTGTTACGGCCTGAAATTGAATAGGGTGAAAAATTAAGCCTTTTTATCGCCCAAAAGGACGGTACTGCGGAGACGGATTAAGTTCCGGATCTAGGCGCTTTAGTCTGATTTATAGCTAAACGTGACTACCGGTTAGTTTTAGACGCCGTGCCCAATCCTCGGGACTAGCAGCGGGAAACTGCTGTGGGAGAAGGTGAAGGTGATGCTATATGGGTCCGTGGAGTGTCAAGGATGACGTAGTATAGTGGCTTTCTGGCCATTGCTATTTGAAATGATGCCATATCACAGAACGGCGCAATTTAAGTATATTAGCACACTTCCACAACATCGCTATGTTTTGTGGCGTAGAGGATTAGGGTTTTAGGATCGATTAGGCTTTTTGAACCGGGTTCGATTCCGAACTTGTGCTCTTTAAAAATTTCTTGACATATTTTCTATTTGTTACGATGCTGGTGTATATTTGCCGTAACATTTTTTATACCTTTGTGCCCCTAACAAAAATCATGATACCTTCTGATTTGATATTGACCATTTACGAGACGGAAACACACAGAGGCTGCAGCAGCATTGGCAGGAGAACTAAAGAACGTGAGGGTTGAACTAGCTATGCGATATAAGTGCACTCGGTAATATAAATGGGTGTCTAACTCTGACATGAACATCAAAGCAGCTAGTCAGGCACAGTAAGTCCTCTAAGTTTAAGTGTGACCTTGCTGCATGGTAATGGATTACAATTTTCAATCCACCCGGCATTCAGTTTCCAAGCGGGAACATTGCCGTTTCATTGCGCCGTACATCATAAATGTTCGTCCATATTTCCGGCACATTTACGAAAAATCATCCAAAACACTTCCCAAAAGTCTCCAAGTTCTTTTTTACAGTTGTGCATTCTATTAAAGAAATCACCATCATAAAGAAAAATAATAACATTGTTACAATTAATGTGAATTGCAAGACAAGACTATTCATTTGCAGTATACGTGATGAACAGACACGAGTACTTTTTCTGGACCTGAGAACATGTACACCTCAGAAGTAGAACCAAGTCCTGGCGACATGACTGTTGTAGAATGTAAGTTTATCTTGGGTTAGTGCCAGGAGAAGGTAGGTGGAGGGTACAAAGGCGCAGAGTGGTGAAATTCTTCTAATGACATTTTGCACATATTCATCCGACTAAAGGTTTGGCACAAATGTCATGGGATTATCTTGGGGAACAGTTAAGACGTTATCTAAGGACAGACCCAGCGAGAAATAAAAAGCCATGGCCTTATGTCTCGCTTGGGACGAAGAGAAGTACGTAAGTACAAATGTCACGATGCTCTCTACATGAAAGTCGTTAAAGTGGATAAATGAGAAAGAAGCACAGCCTGTTATTCAACATGGGGGATTACTGGGTAATGGACATGAGACATGCCAGCGGAGAGTTTCGCTAAAGCTGTACTTTAACTGAGGCTCGTCTTTCCAGGAGCCTGTTCTATCCGTTGGCCATTAGTTTCAGCGGCCGGACAACGTTGGATGGATCTGATTTAAGGTGGATAACCCTTAACCCGCCCGGAAAGATCAGGGCAATACGATCAATATCCATCAGTTATAACACCTAAGATATGGTGAGAGTGGCCCTGAAGGGGTTTCATTCAGTTCACGTGTGCTGTAGAGACAGTTTGATGTCGGTAAATTCCATCTGCTCTCCTACGGAATACACCGTAGTGGGGGTGACCTTTGTATAGTCTGTATGCACGTGTGTTGTGTCGGTGACCTTAGTCCGGATGTGTTGTGTTGGTGACCTTAGTCCGGATGTGTTGTGTCACTGACCTTAGTCCGGATGCGTTGTGTTGGTGACCTTAGCCCGGATGTGTTGTGTCGGTGACAGTCCGGAATGTTGTGTCAGTGAACTTAGTCCGGATGTGTTGTGTCGGTGACCTTTGTCCGGATGTGTTGTGTTGGTAACCTTAGTCCGGATGTGTTGTGTCGGTGACCTTAGTCCGGGTATGTTGTGTCGGTGACCTTAGTCCAGATGTGTTGTGTTGGTAACCTTGTTGTGTTGGTAACCTTAGTCCAGATGTGTTGTGTTGGTAACCTTGTTGTGTTGGTAACCTTAGTCCGGATGTGTTGTGTCGGTGACCTTGGTCTGGATGTGTTGTGTTGGTAACCTTAGTCCGGATGTGTTGTGTCACTGACCTTAGTCCAGATGTGTTGTGTTGGTAACCTTGTTGTATTGGTAACCTTAGTCCGGATGTGTTGTGTCGGTGACCTTAGTCCGGATGTGTTGTGTCACTGACCTTAGTCCGGATGTGTTGTGTCGGTAACCTTAGTCCGGATGTGTTGTGTCGGTGACCTTAGTCCGGATGTGTTGTGTCGATGACCTTGGTCCGGATGTGCTGTGTCGGTGTGATATTTCTGCTGCCACTGACCTGAACATTAATACGCTATTCCTCGCAACTCGGGCAGAGGTCTTTGGAGCTGACATTCATGTGTGACGTCACGTGGTATTTTCCCCGGAGTGGGACGCCACAGGGTGCGCACTACCGTGAAATGAGATTCCCGCCATCCATGGGGGCTTCCTGATAATTACGGAGAAAATGAGTTGGGTTTTATGGCTGAGCAAGATTTTATTGTAAGTATAGTGACTCATATTTCACCAGAAGTATTACTTTACTTTAAAGTGGTATTTAGTGATGCTTTACCAGTTAAACCATTTAGTATGTACATTTAACTTGTATAGACAAAAATAAGAAACAGCCACAATTCGATTTTAGTGTCCATGGCCCCGAACCTGATGCTTTGGCGTGTATCACGGTGGGCTAATCAACTGTCGCCATACAGAACACCTCCCGGAAGCCTAGTTGAGCTGGGCGGCGGGGAGATTATACTACAGCCCCGACAAGAGCCCTCCCAAGCCGCGATAGACTGGACACTAGGCTATTGAGAATTGAAATGATCCGTTCTTTCCTTGAGTTTTTGATCAATTTACGTGATGTGGTAGTTTTAAGTGGAACTAGAGAGCTCTGTACTAAAACATACTGACTATTTCTGTTACATGAACCAGAAAAGGCGTTCCTAGTTTGTAAGTGGAGAGTTCTTATGCCGAAAAGGAGGCAATAACTATAAATGAGCCTAACGCAATATGAATTGTACAACGATATGATCGCGATTAGACTAGTTACAGCAATACAATATAAATCTCATATACAATAAAAGTAATTGAAAACCAGGACCATTGGACAGGTATGACGAATGAGCGTAATTTCTGAGCCGTAATAAGTATGGCGAACGTCCGCTGGTATTTGCCTCTCGTTCCCAGGGGTCTCTTCAGGGGTAATGAAATCTGTTGGAATAAAGCAATTCACCTTTTACATGGGAATTTCATTCTGATTTCAGTCGCCGCCTATACCATTTACAGCTATTTATACGCACCTGCTCAATAATAGCAATAGTTCGTACGTTTATCATGTGAACCACAGTCTGCGATAAAATGTTTCAGTTACAATGATCGGAAAACGATTCCCGCTACGTCTTCCGTTGTTAAAACGTACAGCTAAACCAACCAGTTCTGTTTTAGTGGCGGCGAATTCGTAGGCAGTATCGAGCAACGTAACAGCACAGAGCTCAGTAGCAACAAATGTTAACTTCTGCACGCTGCCATACATACTAAATAGGATTTGGATTTTTGTCATGTGTTTGTATTTAATTGTTGTGTATAGTTATTGCATGTATCTTTTGATATGGGCCACAGGGCTGAAATAAAGAGTCTTCTCGTACATATGGAAAGACTAACAACCTCCTGCATCGTAGAGTAGAGTATGGCACAGATACGTCCCTGTACATAGTGGTGACGGATGAGAACATGGTACACTTGCCCGAGATAACACGTCCGTCAGGGGGAAAATGTGTAGCTTTCACGATTGGGTTAACTCGTGTAGTGCGTATTCTTTGAAAATACTCTTTTTCCTTTGAACCTGGTAAGGTCTAAACGTTCCCACTTTCGTCAAGCTCTGTTCAGTTCAGTACAGGTCACCAGTGGTTGGTGTGGTTTTAGGCCTTCTCATCACCTGTCTCCTATGGACAGAGGTAACCGTGTAATCTAACTTGGTCAAAAGTCTGACAAAATGAGGAATGATCAGGAGTGAGAAGAATTTCCCTTGCATTTTATTAATATGCCTCTAAGTTGTTGACTTCTCTTGTTGAGTGCTAAATAGCAGTCCGCAGCCGCCAATAGAAAACGTACAGCTCAGTTGCAACACTTATTTTACCACCACTTGCACCATTACGACAATAGCCTCCACTTGCACCATGGCGACAATAACTACCACTTACACCATCGCGACAATAACCACCACACGACAATAACTCGATCGAGAATATGTTTTCTCCTGTCTCCTCCCAATGGTGCCGGAATTGGTCGCCATGTTCCTGACCCAAAGCCGGTCTGACAGGCCTAAATGGTTGGGAAGAACTGTGCCGAGGGACCATTTGCAGGTGGACCCCTCTTAAATCAGGGCTCCTCGCGTGGGACGGCGTGCACTTACGGGTGACAGGGATCACAGGAAGCGTGAGCCGGTGGGCGGTATACACTAATGCAGGGATAGAGCCTGGCTGAGTTGCGCTGCGAGTCAACCTAGTCAGGCTCGACTTAATCAGTTTCTGAGCGGAGACAGTGTTGGGAAACTAAGAATAACGACGTAAAATCCATTTCAAGGTTAGTTAGCTTCGCCAAGGCTGTTATGATCTCAGGAGCGTGAATTTGATATGTTTGAAAATTGTGGTTTTATTTGTTTGACGACGAACAACGAAACTCCAAAAGTTATGAAATGATTTTATAAGCACGTACGGTGTGGTGTGTGGTTAGATCTTGAGAAAGGAATTGTTACATGTTGTTACTCTGGATACCGACGATGATGCTTTAACACGTCACTGTGACTGCCTGTTATGGTACATCAGCGATTGCCTCAACCCTCCCTTTGGAATAAGGGGAAATAAAACAGTTTCCTCCAGCTCATGATCAGGTCGACTACGATAGGAAAGAGATGAATAAGACCTGACAGACACGTTTCACTGCCCTCATCCCCGGTTTAAAGACAAGCCGCCCGTAATGGGTGTTTTATTCCTCTCCGTCACACGCACGGCGATTCCATGTACAGCCCTGTCCTGCACAGTCTCATCCTCACCGCCCCAACAGCGCCGTTTGAACGGATTCCATGGCTTTTAATTGACCCCCTGCGCCAGATCGGTTCCACGAGTCAGAGGTGAGATGACGGGTGACACCCTCCGTAAGTCTGTGGCGTGTTCGGCCTGGATGTGATGGACGATACGGGAGATTACGTCATTAATCACCGCACGGAAACGCCGGCTAATCTCCCCAATCACGCATAATTTCATCCACCCTAATCCCTCTCGCTGGGCTAATTACCGTCCTACGTTCCGCGGTAATTACTGCAACCATGTCGGATTATACAGTCTGGTTAGACGGAGATACTTGAGATAAAGACGTGATCAACAAACGACTTGCGCGTAGGGAGTTGCCAATAGGCGCGAGGTTGCCTGGGAGTGGTCTGTAACCACGGTTCATGCATATCCCATCAAAGTGCTGAGATCTGATACAACACACCGTCAGAGTGTGCGCATGCAGGGGTGCGCTGGCTGATACAACACCCTATCCGGGCGGTGAAGGGGAGCGGGAGTTGCCGTGACTGTGGCACCCCCCAGAACAGCGCAGCGCACCGGGCACTCGAAGTCAGTATCCCGGGGGTTTCTCCGCAGCGGGCCGTGGTGGTAAAGCACACGCACCACAAAGCTCGGCCTGTAGGTCCGGGGAAGTTTTCTGTGCAGGGATGGCGCGGACGCCGGGCTGGTCTGTCTTTCTCCTGGCCTTCCTGTTGCTTCCGAGAGGTAAGAACTCTCCACTTACATTCACAGAGCGTTACTATCATCTTTGGAGGTGGAAGGATGAATGCCACTGCTGTATGAAGTCTTAATGGTGATAGCTGGTTAAAGATGTCTGACGATAAGGAATTAACTAGTTTGATGTGTAAAGAGGACCTTACGGCACGTATACGTACAGCATTGACGATGACGATTATGAAACAGATCTGAAAAGTCACGCCAGCCGAATGCCGTTATTGCTTCAGTCCACCCCGATATCAGTCCACCTGATTCCTGATATCCGCCCATCCTGATATATCACCCTGATATCAGCCCACCATGATATCAACCCGCCTCGATCGTTGTCAACCCAAGAACCCAAGAATTCCAAAGAGGCATCAAAATATTGTCGTGATTTTGCCGCTTTATACAAAACCGTCCGTGTAAAACGATAGAAAGTGTCAAAAGGATACGATACGAATACTGATCCACAAGACAAAGATCTGCTTGTGTACATTGCTGACCATACGCGACAAAGATGTTGCGTCCGCGATTTATCTAGAACCATACTCCGGCACGGTTCTGGACAGTCCACGCGTATACCAACCGTGCTTTGGGAAAATCTACGTTCTTGGATACGCGGAGACTATCCAGAACCGTGCCTAATCCTAACCCAGACATTGAAATAGATACAATGGAAATGGATACATCATATGCTCCTCACACTTCTTCCTTCCGCTTGTGCAGTAACTTATATATGGCTGTTCAGAAAGAGTGACGAGAGATTGCAGTTATAGTTAGACATGCCTTATTCTATTGCCTCTATGTAATTCAGTTGCTCCTTTATAACAGACCAGCTCTAAAATAACACCAGCCACACCTTTATTGGTGCGCATCTCACAGAAACCCGTGGTAATAGACCGAGAACAACCGCCTGAATTTCCCGGCTCAGGCCGCTGCTAATCACTAGATTCTGCGGTTCGACTGCATTCTCATCTCTATTGACAAAAGGCTTTACGGAAATAGAACCTCGCGGAGGTGAGGAAGCTGTCCTGATAGAAATTCCAAACCCGTTTTATCATGCGTAAAGACAGGTAATCCGTCAAACTTCATGCAGTTGTCGGATGTGAATGTCAGGAATAAAATGGGTTTTACATATGTTAATGACAGTCACTAATGTTGATCTTTTTATGATTTCTTGGCAGAATTTTCTTTCTGTCTTTCTTATGATGTTTTAAAGTTTCATTGAACAACATAAAACGCGATCCCACAAAAATTTTAATCTTTACCCCAACGCAAGGCACGAGTCGGGAATCCGGAAGTGTATGTTTTAAATCATATATTTCTTGCAAACTCATGCCCGAAGGCTAATTGCAAGGTAACACAGAATGAAAAGAAGTATAGAGATATACGTACGCACGCTCTTCAAATACCGCAGGCTGTAACATTATCTTGTTTGACGTCAAACCCGGGGAAGTGTCTACCAGTTCAGATAAATTATCAATTAGCTAGACTTGAGATCCTCAGTACTGATAAATTGTACTGCCAAGTGTGTAGCTGAGTTGCGTTGGAAGACATCTTGTCCTCATCAGGGCCCCGTTATATCCAGAACTATTTTTCATCCAGAACCATGCGTAGGCACGCTCCTGGATAGTTCACGCGTATCCAAAACCGTGCCTGGGGCAAATCTATGCTCATGGATACGCGGAGACTACTAGTATCTAGAAACGTGCCTGATCCTAACATTAACCCATCCAGACGTAGAACTAGATAGTTCTGGATACGATGGACCGGTGCCGTTCGTCGTACGATAGGTTTGCGACATCAACTTCAGGGCATTCTTGTGACAGTCGTGTTTCGGTAGTCTCTTGGCAAACATGTTGCCGTCGACCTTTGATGACGACTATTTCTGTCGCAGTCTAATTAGAAATTGTGCGAGAAAAATATTGGACGAATTTGATGTAAACAGAACAACTGTCGTATCAAGAACCAAGCCTATCTACATATAACTCTATGGCTGAATGGTTTAGGGTCAGGATCAGGCACGGTTCTGGATACTTAACGCGTATCCAAGAACGCAGATTCACCCTAGGCACGGTTCTGGATACGCGTGAATTATCCAAAGTCGTGCCTGAGCAGGGTTCTGGCTAAAGCACGGTTCTGGATATAACAGCAGCTCTTGATACTAATGTGCACAAACTGAACCCGAGCCGAGCCGTATTCAGACCGTCCCAGTCATTCGTTCCTGTGTGTGTGAGTGATGTCCGCCATTCCCTCCGTGATTGGAACGCAGCTCGGATTGAAACAATGAGGTAAAACTAACTACAAGTACATCTCACCGCCAGAAGTGCCCCGGGACCTCATTTCTCGTCTAGTCACTACTTTAAGACGGTGAAAGTGATTGGAACTAATGACGCTCGGGCGAAGGAGGTGATTTGGGGAATTATTTCGACAGGGAATAAAAAGACAAGAGCGAAGTCATCCTTTACATGAACATTTTTCATCTAGACAGTCAACTCCTGCAAATAATTCATTGCAACGTCTTGTAAAGTCCGCATCTCCGTCCGCATATATCAGACGCAGTAACATGTCACGTTTTGACATGTACGCATCGCTGGCAACAGTAAATGGACAATTTTTGTGGGGATTTTAACACTTTATCTTACAAATAGTGACGCATCAGAACCGAAGTAGGGATACACGAAATAAATCTTGCCCGGTACTAACAAACCGGATGAAACATTGCGTTTTGTTCCATTTTAGCTAGTTAGTACCTGACAAATTGTATCTTCGTTTTGCATACGGCTCTGTTGATAAAAATTGACACAAGTAGACACAGAGATCTATTACTGTTACCCCGGCCATTTGTCTCCCCTGGAAGACCCTGTCCCTGACTGTGTTAGGACGCCGGGCGGGGTCGTTTAGAAGTTCCTTTCCCGGATTTTACAACGCACAGATACTGATTATCGGCTGCGCACGTTGGGGTCCTTGTTTAATGCAGAGATTCGGTGTCAGCTTCTTGTTTACTGGTATTTTAAATCTCTGAGTACCATGGGCAATTTACTTCATTATCGTTCGCCCACATCAACTTGTTTCATGTCAATCTTATTTTAATCTCAGAATCAAAATCGGTCTTTTGTTTACTCGGATGTTAATTTCTTTGTACCCTGGGGTAATTTTACTTCATTATCATCAGCCCAAATCAACTTACTGGCGCCCGTATGGAACATGTCTGTCGCGTGATTTAGTTATGGATATGATTATTGGACATGACTGCATACTCGTAACAATCAACGTGCGAGGTTCAACAACCTCGGACGTTTTACAACACATCCATATAGAGTCGCTTGGACATTTGGTGACATTGGGCGAAATCGGAATCTTAAGCTTGGACACACAACCAATTTCTTTTGGAAGAGGCATACAAGACGCCATCCACATCAGGGCCCTACAACCATCCCTCACTGGCAGAGACGGGTGACGCTATAAACCTTCTATTTATCCGATGAGCCACTGCGTGTCGTGGTTTGACTGGATTCGGTCAGTCAAAAATTTGGCTAAGTCCAAATCAGGAACTTGATTTGTCTCCTGATGAGAAACGTCGTGATCTGTGTCGCGGGCGGAGAACAGGAATGTTGACATTTCCCGTAACTAAAATGGCGAACCTGCAGGCGACCCGGCGATCCGCGCACGTGAGCAGGCGGAGATGGAGGTCGGCAAAGATCGCCAGTCTGGACCGAAAAGACACATCATTCAAATACATAAATATAGCACTATATAACTTATAAGGAAGGCTTCTCTGGAAAGAAGGGTGAATATAGCATGTCGGCAGGACTTACTGCGCTTGGGCGAAACCCAGATTTTTTATAGTTTTCCCATGATCAGTGAGTCTGATTTGTTGTAAGGATCAGAGGGTTTGGCCTGATGAATGTTATAAATGATTCGTTTCCGGACAATATAGATACATCGTGGGGCATATAGTCGTTGTGAGATTTTGTGTGGATCTGTTCCACATTTCTCTGCTGCCTTGCTCGATAATTAGACTTGTAATTAAAAAAAATCTATCAAACTCCTCCCGCCGTGGAGAACATGTTGTTGGACAAGCCGGTGGGCGTCAGTGGATTCTCCATGCCAGACACGTCCTTCATCATCACGCCTGTGGACATGAATAGATAGTCCAACTCCTGCCTGTATCAGGTACTACCATCGCCACTTGTATGGCGCCGCTTACGGGATATCTGTGTGCAGTAATTGCACAGTTCTATTCAAGTACAACGTAAGTTCTTTTTTCACCACCACAGTCAATTTTCTCTTTCCATGTTTCGGCTGTTTTCGTCACGGTAAGACGCTAAAAGCAGATAAAATCAGCTCTACTGTCGTTGAGAAAATTGGCAGTGGTTGTGAAAAAATGAATGATTATTGTAGATGACTTTCACCAACCTGATTCGTCGAAGACCCTGGCTTTGGGACTTTGGCGCACTGAACAAAAGCTATCAGTAATGCACCTGTAATGCATAAGACAGGTAATGCACCGTTCGGACATGGAGGATTGATACAGCAGGGGAAATCACCAGGCTTAGGATGGACAGCCATGTATGGAAAGGAGGAGGAAGGGATTATAACAGAGAACTGCCAATTGGTTTATCTACTTGGTCAAAAGCTGTTTCAAGATTAATTTAATTCTGTAATAGAATGAATAGTGTGGAGGGTATTGACCTTCCCGTCCAGAGTTGAACGCCCTGAGCTCTGCAGTCGAAACCGCCTAGTCCATCGTTCCACCCAGAATGCAGATCCGATGATATCCTATGCTATGTTAACACGGCGCCTGACCTCTTCCATTGAACTCTTAAAAAGCGGCCCACCAAAGTCAAAGGGTGTAACGTCTACTAGCATAATTCTGTCAGGTCATATATACCCTGAAAAATGCGGACTCCAGTGCAACGTCCCACATTAAAATGCACTTATGTTATCTAAACCGTGCATACCTGGGGGTGGTGCATCTCTCAAACACACTATTTTCAAACTGGCAGATATATGTATGATTCAGAATCAGAGTTGAATTTGAAACCAAAACTTTGACTGCAGACTTACACACAAACCTGCCGGTTCTCAAGAAACAAAACGTAAAAGACAGGACATGTAAGCAAACTAAAGACGAGGTTAATAATTCAATAAGGCAATGCTATCGTGGTCCCATAAGCGAGTCTAGATTGATAGCCCTCACTGGACCAAATCATCATGAGTAAGGCAATTTGTTCATCTCTGATAGTCATTTGATAATACAGAGCTGTTTGGTAAGCACTGTTGAACTATCGCCTTCCATGGTGATCTGATAGCATCCCCGAAATCCCGCTGGCCGGGTCCTCTGTCGCTCCAGTAATGACACAACCGGGAATGACACCTGAGCCCTATGTACAGAAATCGCGAAAATCGGATAAGGAAATCGGGTACGGAAATAAGATACAGAAAGCCTGAAAGTCAGGATATGGAAATGGATACGGAAATCGCGGAAATCGGATGCGGAAACCGGAGAAAGGCACGGAAACTGGTTCTTTACGAGCGGCCATCCTCGTGTACAATGGAATTAGTGGCATGTTCATCTTATGGTTGAACACGATACTGATGATGGAAATCTCAAAGACATCAATGATAGTAATGACAAAGACGCATTTTAATATCGCAACTTCCCGCTATGTTTTTACTGTTTTGACATACACATACACATCGTACAAAGACACAAACACAAACACAAAACACATGCAGAGAAAGACAGACAGACATAACGGAATAGAAGGAACCTTTTTAGGATTGATTGTGTTACTCCTCGCCAAGTACAGGATGGCGAGTCAATGTGTTCACTGGTGTGGAAAGCCTACTGGCCGAATCACGGTGTTCTCGGCCTTAATGTTAACGTCGCGTGCCAAATACCGAACTGGGGAATGTAGCAAACATGCCAAACTTGAATTTCCTTCTCCAATCTTCTATATCCTACCGCATCACGCACTGTCAATACCCATCTAAATGTCAAAATTAGAAGTAAATGTCGAAATCTTAGATGATGAATCATTTTCTTTCCTGAACGATGCTGACCCATACATAAGAGACAGACTGTGACGCACGTTTAAGGTGTGTGGCGGGTGTTAAAACAGTTGTGGAAAGTTGATGAAAGTTTGCAGGGTCTAAAATGTTAACTCCTTTCCGTTGTCTACAGATTCTCTCCAGGGCCGGCACCAACGAAAGCTGTTGGACAAACTCCTGAAGAATTACAACATCTTGGAGCGTCCGGTTCTAAACGACTCGGACGCTCTCACTGTCAATCTAGGAGTTACCCTGCAACAGATTATAGACGTGGTACGTACCATAACTGATAGGGCGGGTACAGTAGTTGCTGATATCAGTTTAGGAACCATAACGTGTAGGTACCATTATATAGCTGACGCATGTACGGATTCCCAGTCCACATACCTTGCATCTATTCGTGACGGTCGTGCCGTATATCGCAGATTTGAGAAAATGTGTGCAATAGTTTCTTCTTAAACATACGACGTATGGTGATTTTCGTCGCAGAGCAAAATTCTTCTTCAGTACATCGTACGATGTATGTCGCCGGGGCTTAACTATTGATTACCTATATCGGTGTCGGGACCTTTCCGGATTGGGGTACGTTTGAAATGACGCGTGATTCCAAATGGACGGCACGTTGGTCAACAGGGAGGCATCATGGGACAAACGGGTCAATATGTTACCTCCCGTCTGCAGCGGTCAATCTTTCCACTTAGTTCTGGCACAGACGGGCAGGTAGCAGGCAAACACGCACAACAGTCATACTTAGGGCTCAACTGCAAAAAGGGCCCCCACCTGGTAGTTAACGGGTTTTGCTTTTGTACTATCGGACGTGGTCCCGTGTGACCCCAGTGGCTGTCGGGGTTGTTTTTTTTGGGGGGGGGGGGCGACAAAAATACGCCGAAACCTAATCGTGATAGCCACAACAGTTCCTCTCCCGGTGCCCGGTTGTCCATCAACTACACCGGACGTCATTTCCAGTGATCACCAGAACGCCTACAGTTTTTTTATGTAAACAAGGTCCTCATTATGACCACGACAGCCGGTGTCCTCCCGACTTAGGAGCCCGGCCGGGGCTGCACCCCGTGCGGACACCGGTGTTATTGTACCCTGAGCATCATGGAGTGTAGAACAAGCCAGGAAGTCAGACTAGTCAGGAATGCACAGTGCGTTTGACAACGGGGCCAAGATCATAGCTTAAACTTTCGTCTGACTGATGCTTTTGTTACCTCAGGGTACGGAAGAATTGTTGTGGGTAGCTGAGCTGTTGTTTTGTACATCTGTTTTTAGAAGTAGGTTGACAGCACGTGGGTGGGAGGAGGTTTAACAGGCAAAATGACGGGAGGTGAAAATGTTAGACACCGACAATGACGTAAACGTGAAGGCTTCTGACAGAAAGGATTAGAGGTCGGTATATGGGGGAATTCAGGAAGCCGGGGATGACATACTTCCTTGAAGCCAGAAATCTTAGTTTTACTTGGAATCATGGGTGTGCTGTTCTTTTCAGGATGAGAAAAATCAGATCCTGACAACAAACATCTGGGTGAGAATGGTAAGTAAAGCATAACTCATTTTCATGTATGGATAGATGTAGGGATAGAATGATGTATAAATGGATAGATGGAGGGATGAATGAATGGAGGGATGGATGGATGACTAAATGAATGAAAGATCTACATGTCAATATAGACATATAATCATATTCACATGTCGTCAACACCAATACGAAGGTACTTTATGACGTAAAATCGTTTAGGTGGGGTCGTAGCCTTGTGAACTGTTGCTTCATGTCAACAATTAGTTCGTATCAACTCAGAAATGATATTTGCTGTCATTATATCACAGAGCAGCGCTGATTTGGCAAGCTGTTGAAGAGTTGTCACATTTACACATTTTCTCCAACACAGTCACACATTCACGGCTCAAAGACGCCTGTACCTTATCTAATTTCCGTACTGTAATACAATAACTTTGCGTTATTAACTTTTTGACTCCTGTGTAAAATCAATAATGAAGCCAAGCGGGGCTTACTTTATTTTGCATGTAATCCGGGAGCCGACCCGAGGAAATCTAAGTATAATTGGGCCTGAAGTGGTGTAATCGGAAACGCAATCACCAGGAAACACGCTCAGCCTTTGTTTGACACCCGACGATGAATGATTTATGACGCGCAGGTGATACGCTGCTCAGACTGCATTGACGTTTGTCTGAACTTACAACAAAGGCCCTGTTCAGACGAAAGCGCTGGAACCGTGATTCGGGTAAATCGCACACCTCACATCTGGTCCACGTGCCACAAGTTCCAGCGATATTATGGCCGAGCACGATTCGCCTAAACTACAATCATTTTTGTTTGGTGGAAAGACGCAAGGTTGCGTTGTATCAATGTCACAGGCCAACTACCTGCTTGCTGGTGCCCCCCTCCCAGTGTACTTCGGCCCAACGTGGTCCCAACAGAGGCGGCGAAGCTCGTCCTAGAAATGGGCACATTATTAGGCCGCCTGCGCCGGCACCTAACCTGTTGTTCTCACACTGATGTACCTGTCCTATTGCTCGCACTACCTGTCCTGCTGTTTTCACACAGATATGGACGGATGAATATCTATCATGGAACGAGTCAGAGTTTGGTGGTTTGAATCAGATCCGGCTGGACCCTAAGAGAATCTGGGTTCCAGACATCCTCATGTACAACAGGTTTGTATAGACGTCTCCACGCCATAACTTGCAGTAATTTCCACTCTGTACGGTGGA